ATTAATAATTATATAATAAATAAATAATAATTTAATAATAATTAAATAATAATTTAATAATAATTAAATAATAATTTAATAATAATTAAATAATAATTTTACGATAATTAATTAATGTTTATTTCGTTTTAATTTAACGAAATAATTTAACCGTTTAAATTTATTCGAAGTGTATTATTTACATAAATAATAATATATTTTATTATAAATAAAGTATTAAAAAAATAACTTATAAACTTTTTTTTTTTAATATTACATTTTATTATAAAATAATTTACGTTTATATTATAAAATAAAAACGATTTTTAATATATTCATTTTAACATTTAATATATAAAATTTAAATTAATAAATTAAAACATTAAATGCGATTTTAAACGCGTAAAATTCACATTCGATTTTTAAATAATTTTACGATAAATATTATAAACTTATTATTTAATCGAAGTTTAATTATTATTCGATTAAAGTTTAATTATTATTTAATTAAAATTTAATTATTATTCGATTAAAGTTTAATTATTATTTAATTAATAATTATATTATATTAATTTATTAATAAAACTTATTTTAAACTTAAATATAATTAATTAAAAACCACCGGGTATTAATATTAATATTATTTTTTTAATTTTTATTAATATATATATTAAAATAAAAATCGCGTTTTTTTGCCGGTTTTAAATTACGTTCGATTACGAAAGTTTAAAACTTAAATAATTAAAAAAAAACAATCATTTTTTAAATAACTTTTATAAAAAAAACTAACATAAATATATATATAATTTTTTTAAACTTTCGCGTTTTAATTAAGAAATATTATAATAAAATATAAATATAACTTTTATATTTATTATTATTTATTTATTTTATTATTTATTTAACGTTTAATAATAATTAATTAATATTAAATATATAATCGAAATAAATTTAAGTTTTAATATTATATATAACGTTATATTTAAAAATAAATTTATTATATATATTAATTTATTATATTTATTTTATATATTAATAATAATAAATTTAACGATATTAACGTAATTTTCATATTAAAATTAATACGTATAATTTATATAAATATTTTAATTTTAATATAATTAACATAAAAAACCGATTTACCATTATTAAAAATGTTTACTTCGAAAAAAAAGTTAACGGGTAATTTATAAATAAAATTATTATTTAATTTTTATTTAATTTTTATTTAATCTTTATTTAATTTTTATTTAATCGTTATTTAATCGTTATTTAATCGTTATTTAATCGTTATTTAATTGTTATTTAAACTTTATTAACTTTTTAATTAAATGTTTTTCGTAAATTTATTTTTATAAAAAAATAACGTGATTTTATTTTCCTTTATAAACTCGGGTTAATAATTATATAATTAATAAATATTATATTAATTAATACTTAATAATTATAACCCGTTAAATAATAATATATTTCGATAAATCGTTAATAATTTAAAAGAAATTACGTAAATTAATATTTAAATACGTATAATATTAATTAAATTATTATTAATAATAATTAATAAATAAAATTTAAACTTTATCGTTAAATAAAGTAATATATTTTATTATTTTATATATTATATTATTTTTAATTATATTATATTATAAAAATTAATATATTAATATTAAAAATAATCGTAAAATAATAATTTTAAAAAATAATTTTATTAAACTTAATATATTAAATTTAAATAAAAATAATAATATAAATAAAAAACTTATTTAATTAATTATATTTTTTATTAAATAATTTTTAATTAATTTATCGTTAAGTTAATTTTTTAAAAAATAAATAAATAATTTTAATTTTTTTAATAAATTTTTTTAAAATTTATTCGAAATAATTAAAAATGTTAAAAAATATAATATTTTATTAAAAACTTTATTAAATTTATTTTTTCTTTTATTATTTAACGTAAAAAAAAACCCCGATAATTATAATTATAAAAATAAATAAAACGTTTATAATAATAATTAATATAAAAATAAAATTAATATTATAATATCGCCGGAATTAATAACGATTAACTTTATTATAAAAAAGCACCATTTATTTATTTCGAGTAATAAAAAAAACAAAGCAAAGTTTAAGCTAAATAATAATATTATCCCGTCGGGAAAGTATTAATTAAAATTAAAACGGTAAAAATTATCATAATTCCTTCCTTTCTAAAAGCTTTATATTTAAATTTCCACTATTTTTTAAGTTGAAATAAATTTTTTTTTAATAAAATGAATTAATTCGTTGATTTGATTACGTAAGAAAAACTTAAAATGCGGAAACGTTTTAATGCTTTGGCGGTTTAAGGGATTTGGCCCGCCGTCCCAGTCGACGGCGGCTTGGTTACCAGGACCCTTCCAATTACCCTCCGTACTCGCAAGTGCTTTCTCGCCGTTGGGCTTTTTCTCGACTGCCGCAGCCGGTGCGCCTTTGACAATGTCTTTCACGAATCCGTTTGATACGTTGGAGCCATCTGTCGAGGCAACGGTAGCTGCACCGTCGCATCCTTGCTCCAGCGAGATATCGCCATGCGCACCTCCATCGTTGGACGCCTTGACCTGGAACTCGCCCCACGTAGCTGGCTGCTGGTCTCCGCGCTGAACGCGGCCTTTGAAACCAAGTTCCAGCGCCACATGAACGGTCTGGTTAGGGCCGACATCGACATGCTTTAGCGGGTGGTCGAAGTTAGCACCCGCCTCTCCATTGCCGTTCCAATAGTTGTCGTAAAAAAAGTACGTGTTCTTCCGGGACGATTTGTTAGTTAGCTGAATACCGGGGCCAAGTGCAGAGGCGGAGGCAGAGGCAGAGGCAGAAGCAGTGGCAGAAGTAGCGGCAGCCATCATCTTGATGCCGCTGGCGGGCGCTTCATTATTGGTCACCGAGGCGGCTACCAATGTGGCCTCTTGACCGGTGAACGGCTTGGAAGGATCAGGTGCAGCGTTCCCGTCCTGGAAGATGTTAGTTCTCGAGAGATGGAAATACCATTTCTTCACCATTAAGCTGTATCTTACGCTGTAAATAATAAGAATGTCCTTGCTACCGTTGCCGGCCTTGCTCTGTGCGTTATCCGCGGGATTGCCACCATTCGGTCCCCTTGACTAAATGTTAACAGTAGCTCAGGATTTAGGCAATGCATACTACTACGTAGGTACGATAGGCACCTAGTATGTAAAGGACGGCTCACCAAGCGCCCACACCAATGTACGTTCGACCATTCGCGAAGGTCCTCACGAACTCCTCTAAGGGCCGAAACTCTTTCGGGGCTCCGATACGCTTAACGTTTCCCTTGCCGTCAAGGAACACATGGCCATTAAGCTGGTTCTTCTTATCCTGAGGAAGTTTATGCCAAGCTTGATTACAAGCCTGCATGAAGTTCTCGAGGCCCTTGTATTTTCCAGCAGGGTCGCCGACCTGCTGGCAAGTCATGTTACCGCCAGCACCACAGATGTTGCTAATGTCGATGACATCGTTTCCCATGTAGCCGTGCTTAGTGATCTCGCATTGCTCGCCAATGACGCCCTCATGGACGGCGATTATGGCGCCTGAGGTGCCATCGGCGGCTTGGACACTAGATTGGCCATTGGCATTGATAGTCAGGTCCTTGTTACCATTGTAACCATGGCATTGGAAGGTCTGAGGGTGGTTGGATCTGTTATGAATCTTAAGATAATGCATGTTGGCTCGAATTTCTCGTATGCGTAGGTAGGTAGGTAGGTATACTTGATGTCTCGATGATATGAATGTGTGGTTGCTAAACTAGAAGGAAATTCAGGATATCTTATACTTCGACGGCTACGGACGCTTCTGCATACTAGTCTCTACCTATATCTACCTACGCCTTAAGTAATTCTAGAGGAAAGAATAACACGTGCAATATACAATAGCTACCTACTTCTCTTCAGAAACCACGATTTCAAGTGAAAACTTACTGTATGATGGTATCCGCACGTTGAGCTGAACGAACTTAGCCACCACCAATATTCAGAGAACATCATTATAAAGTCCTATTTTTTAGAATTAAACCATCACGGGAATCTTCGCCATAGTCATGAGATCCAATAATGCGGCAAAAAGATCAGAAATGCAATACTTTGCCGCAAAGGATCATTAGTGAGAACTAGGCTCTGATGTCATAGTAAACTAACAACGCCCTCTGGTAGACAATCCGACGAGGTGACAGGGAGATGGCTTACTACGCACACCTATGTCTCCTTAGAGAATAGTCTGGGGAGAGAGATAAAAAGAAGAAAAAGACCCCCCGAGCTAAATGCCGTTAGGGAATAACCCAGTGTCAGATATTAGATTCGAACTTAGCGATTACATACCTCCTAGGTAGGTAGGTAGGTAGGTAAGAATACCTAGTACCTAGTATTGACCAGCGACTCTGCCTTATATTGTATTGAATTTTCGTTGTTAGTTCATGGACTGGCGATATTTACGAGCTGACCCCAAGGAACTACCTAGTCAACGATAGATAAGCTCCTAAAATAACTAGTTTTATATCTCTTCTAGTCCTCATGATTGGGAATAAGCCACCACTGAGTCCTATCGAGCCCTGTTAAGTCAGCAATTGCCGTATTTCAATGACGACTACCTAGATACCGACGAATAGAGAGCTGAACTAAAGCGAAAGAAAAAGGTCGAGACCATGCATAGCCCGAAATTATTTCATATCATCTGATATACAGAATGCTAGGGAAGCTTGCTTAACATAACCGGTAGAATAATGTAATCATTCACCCAGGTAAAGCCGGTCTATCACTGTTGTCAGCGTGAGCCGTTCCTCCGCCTCACTTCAGCCCGACCTTGGAGCTTCTATCGATGTGTGTTGAGGTTATTTTATCTCCGGTCCAATATGTATATAAGAGTTCCTCCATTCCTTCTATCGGCACTATATCATTCATCAACATTCATAAAGTCAAACCCCATCATTATTGTAACCTCATTGCTTAATAAAAAGTTATATATCAACATTCACAATGGTTATCAAGAAGCGTCAGATTCTTTGGGACTGGACAAACTCGGCTGGCCCAGGAAACCCAGGTGTGCCTGACAAGATAAACCAAGTTCCGTTCGGTAGTAACAGCCCAGTGGCCTCCGTCGTGAACTGGAACGCATGGGTCCCTCCAGAGCTAAAGGACCGGGCTCCATTCAGGCCTATGGTCCGCGTTCTTCAGAGTACATCTGGAAACGATTGGGCTGTGATAGAAAGTTCCAAGTACCCGATCATACTCTTTTTCAACGAGCCTGAGCGTGCTGGTATAACCCCAGAGCAGGCAAAGGATATCTGGTATAAGCAGATGTTGCCCCTGAGAAAGAATAAGGGGAAGAGACTTGGATCCCCAGCGGTTGCTTCTGTAAGTTTAGCTTACTAGCCTATGTTAACAATAATGAAACTGACTACTCTACAGGACGATAATGGTCGTAAGTGGATCGAGAAGTTTATGTCGCTCGTGTCAAATGACCCTCCCGATTTCCTCTGCTTGCACTACTACTCTACCAACGCAAATGATGCCATCAAGTATATCCAAGACATGCATAACAAGTGGCCCAAACATAAAGTTGTGAGTAGACGTGATTAGATAATGCGGGCATTCGTTTGCAACTGACACATTCGAAGATGGTAACCGAAATTGCATCTATCGACCGTAACTACCAGGCCGTCCTAGCCTTCACTGTCAAGGTCTGCAATTGGATGGACAGTCAGGAATGGATCTTCGAATATGGTCTGTTCGACTTCCAGCGCAAGGTAGCCGATAATTTCGTCAGCCCGGCCGCGCAGCTCATGGACGGAAACGGCAATTTCACGGAACTGGGCAAAATATATGTCAACCAGCAGCCTATGAAGGTACCTGGAAAAGCTGATGTCTCCGAAAAAGAATTTTCCGCGGCATCTATTGCGGAAGAGGATGGGAGAACTGGAGAACCCGCGTCCCACGAGGCCAGTGATGCAGTGTTCCAAGCCGCCGAGGCCGCTGTGGAAGATAATAATGAGTTCAGCGCGTCTGCAGCTTTAGGCGGCGACCAGCAAAAAGCCCTAGACCTTCACAACAATAAAAGAAAGTCTAAGGGGCTTCATCCCCTCTCGTGGGATAACCAGCTGGCCAAGAACGCTGAGGACTACGCGAAGCATCTCGCCAAGATCGGTAAATTGGAACACTCCTCGGGTGACCAGCGCCCCAACCAGGGCGAAAATCTTGCATGGTAAGACTACAGTCCATTGATCAACACGCGTAGTAAAGATGCGAGAGTGTTTCTAACATTACTTACACATACCTAGGGCTTCTAGTTCGAACACACCCCTGGCTATGGCCGCAAAGATGTGGCTAGACGAAGAGAAGAACTACCACGGTGAGCCGATTGGGCAGGGTAACTTCGGATCTTATGGCCATTACAGTATGTCGTCTTTCAGCTATGTTTCTCCAAGGTCATACATACCTAGTGTCTACCTACCCATCTAACATATTTGTCCTCTTTAGCGCAATGCATGTGGAAGTCGACTACCAAGTTGGGCATGGGCTCGGCCAAGGATGCAAAGGGTGGTGTTTACACCGTTGGGAGATATTCCCCACCCGGAAACATCGTCGGTCAGAAGCCATACTGATCTGATATAGAGAGACTTATGGTATGAATAGGTACTTTTAGAAGAATATTGCCTACCTTGGATGGTCTATTCAGTTTCGAAATGTCTTGTATCGCCTCAGTCTGTATTTAGGTAACCGTAGTACGATCGGCTTGGCAATGGCAAGCACACGCTCTTTTAGCAAGTTATGGATGTTTAATGAAGTGCCTAGTAGTCTTGGTACAATATTTGGTTCTTATAAGTTGAAAGAATGTGGAATAGGATGATGTTGATACGTAGATACCTACATACCTAGTAGTACCTAGTCTGACTCGTAGGAACGTACAATACATGTACCGAGGATCTATGATGCATTACCCCTTTTCGTATCCACCTCGAGGTACTAGGTACATACATGTAGATACCTACTGACATTGATTGAATTACACCCAATCTCGAATACCCTCAATTATTAACACTCGCAACTTCCAGTGCGGCTAATTCCTTCTTCCCCCGTGTCTTGCTCGTTACGTCAGATGTACGCTGTTAGGTTCAAGGTTTGGTGCAAGGTTTCACAGTACCTTACCCCTATCAATACAAATACATACATACCTAAACTACCTGGGTAGTTCCAAGTTTAGTATTCTATTTTGTTTATTTCATCTTCAGGAACTCATCTATACCTACCTCCTAGGCAGAGACCATTCCAAGACCATTCAACTTATCCAACAAAGTCTACTAGGTATCTAGGTTCACCACACTCAACAATATTATCGACCATTGCAACCCAATCGGTCAATTAAAATGTGGCCGGTATCTATTGCCAGCGTAGCCGCTACGCTGTTCATCACCGGTAGGTAAACTTCTGGAAACAAAACGGGCTGTTAGCCATTATATCCGCCCCTGACGCACTAGGCATCACAGTAGGCGGATTTACTATTCCGTCATCGTGCCCAGATATCCCATCCTCCCGGTACCCCTTTGAACTTGCCAAGGGTTGGGCCGGAGTCAAAGTGGCAGATGGGTTGCATTCTCCTCGCGGATTGGTCATAGATGGGGAGGGTCGCCTCCTAGTAGTCGAGGAAGGCTTGGGAATCAGCCAGCATACAGTCGACACCAATGGCTGTATCAAGTCATCGCGAGTTCTTATATCTATGTCCGCCTTAAACCATGGCATCTATCTTGGAAAGGATGATGACACGTTATATGCAAGTTCAGCGTCTGCCGTGTTCAAATGGGCCTATGATCCAAAGAGTGGTAATACGACCGGATCACCTGTTACCATAATCTCTGGAATGTCCAGCGAGGACCACGTCTCGAGAACGTTGATCATCTCACCTAATCACCCAAACTTGCTTGTTGTCTCTCGTGGATCAAATAGCAACTTAGACTATGCAACGGTTGATCCGTCGACGGCCCGGTCTATTGTCAAGGTATTTGACATCATGAAAGTACCTAATGGAGGATATGACTACGTTAAAGACGGCTGGAACGCGGGATATGGCCTCCGAAACGAGGTTGGTCTAGTTTTCGATGGCAATAACATGTATGTCGAATCCTTCCTTGCCATTTCTCCTTTAACATATCTGTTTCCATACCTACTACACGAAATCATGGGCCCGGCTGATCCCACGTGTACCTAGGCTCTGGGGTGTAGAAAACAGCGCCGACCAACTCACGCGTGAAGAAAATGGCACATCTACGGACATCCATACGGACAACCCTGCCGAAAAACTCAACTTTCTTGGAGATATCGCAACGCCTAACAATGCCTGGTACGGTTATCCCACATGTTTCGCAATTTGGCGCCCCGATCCGGCTATCGTCGACAGCACTACCATGCAGGAGGTTGGCGTGGGTCAGCAGTTCGTCTTAGCGCCGAATAAGACATTTAATGATACAACCTGCGCCAAAGTGGCAAGGCCGCCGCGTCTCGTATTTGAGGCGCATACAGCACCGCTCGATGCCAAGTTCGATATGCCCAAGTATGAGAACATGTTTGTAACGATGCACGGTAGCTGGGATCGCAACCCGCCTGTAGGGTACAAGCTTGTCGCGGTACCATTTACGCATGCCTCTCAAGGTGGCTATGATCCCGTCGCGCCGGCTAACAGCAATACCGGATATGTTGACATCTTCTATCCACCCAACGAAGGGAATTGTTCGTCATCCACCTGTATACGACCGGTCGGTTTGGTTTTTGATGCGGCTGGACGGTTGTACATGACGAGTGATACATCCGGTGAGGTGTTCATGCTTGGTCGCAGCAATTAACGAGCTCCTAAAGGACATGGGTGAGGGCAAAAGTTGCTCATCGATAATTTATACCTTATCGTGAATCTGAAGTCGAAGCGAAATGCTTAGTTACGATTCATGTATTTGCCGGAATATGTAATATGATAGAATGGGCTCTGTTGGGATTCAATTCTAATCTCTTGGCATTATTCCAGAGCAATTATCACGTTACCGGATTTTGATGGGATTAAAATATGCTGTCGACTTCATTAACTACTACCTGTTAAGAGTCAAGTTTCATCATACAGGCGACCTAATCCCCAAGCTACCTACGTCTCTGAGCAGGTCAAGGTAAGAGGTATCCAGGAAGTCTCAAACACGAGTGTCCCCCTTTGATCTTTGCTCGTCAACTACATCGACGTGATCTACGTCAATCGCTGCCTCTTCTTTCTCATTGTAAACTACGTCCTTGAGATCGGCATCTTCGTTCCCGCGTCTCCCAATAGCATACCACGGTAATTCGAACAGGCGGTCCATGGATTCCAGGGATCGGCCGGCGGTCTCGGGCACGAAAAACCAGACCCAGAGACCGCCTAGCACGGTGACGGCCCCAAAGCACCAGAATGTTCCCATTGGAGAGATACCGCCCTGGCTTGTGGGAAGTAACATATTAGGAACGGCGCGCGAATTGCCATACTGATTCGCAAAGTGAAGCGTCATTACGATCGAGGTGGAAAGAGCGCGGATCCGCAAGGGGAAGAGCTCGGCCGTGAGTAGGTATTGCATTGAATTCCAACCCAGAGCCCAACCGAAACCGGAGACTGATTTGATTAGTCGAATGAATTGACACGAAAGTAATAGTAGTTGCTGATTATGTAGTCAGAGATAATTAAAAACTTACTATAGATCATGGCGATGGCGCCGCGGCTGGCGCTTTTCTCAGCCTCCGGAAGCACGTAGCGATCGTCAACCCCCAGCTCTGGCACGGCAGTCAGGAAGCCCGCCACATAGACCATGGAGACGGCCTGTAGCGTGATGCCGAGAAGTAAGGCACGCTTGCGGCCGATGACGTCGACGAGGAAGAGGGCACAGATAAGGGCGGCAACGAACTTCACGATGCCGAATATACCGGTGACGAGCAGGGACTCGTTCTGGCCTGTTATGCCAAGAATCTCGAAGAAGTCGACTGCGTACAATGTAATCGAACCTGCCCCCGACCATTGAGACATGAACTGCACCGTAGCACTAAGGTAGAGCCGGTAAAGGTTGCTAGGAATCAGAAACATTTCCTTTAGGATGCCGTACCAACTCGTGCCCATGGTAGCTTCTAGTTCTTCCTCGTGCGCGTGTCGAATAGCGCTAATCTCCGCAACAACGTACGAGTCGTCAATCGACAAGTGACGGATGCGAGCCATGTTCTCGGCCGCTTCCTGGTACTTGCCTTGCTTGACGAGGAAGCGCGGCGACTCATACTGGAAGAAGGTCAAGATGAAGATCAGACCGGCAAAGATGATATGCAGACTCGTCGGCGCAAGCTAGGACCCGATCGTTGTTAGTTGCCCAGGCTTCACGATATAAATTTAGTCAAGATATACTTACCCATCGGATGTGGGTGGTATCACCGAGGTTCACCTGAGCACCATAGTTGGTAAAGTACGCGAGGACAATGCCGACGTAGACAAAACCGGTGAAAATACAGGTACAGAGACCTCGGATAGAGGCTGGAGCAATCTCGGCGATCTATTCTATGTCAGCAGCCCGCACGAAATCCGAGATATTGGTACAATATCCGTTTATTGACATACTACAGATGTGTTAGCTCGTAATCATATTCGTACTCATATTCGTACTCATACTCGTACTTCTACTTTCGGCATAATGTAATGAATAAGACAACATACCATAGACAGGGCCGACGACAGGGGTTTGGCCTACACCGAGGCCGGCGATAAAACGGCCGGCGTATACAGCTCCGAGGTTACCACCGTTTCCCATGAAGATGGCAATTCCTAAGATCCAAAGGACACATAATTGTCGAGTAGCCCAGATTCTGCCGATGCGATCGCAAATGACGAAGGCGAACAGAGCGCCGGCAACGGAACCTATCTGGACCATGGCTGACACGTTCGCCTTGATGTTCGTCTGCTCGACCTTGGTATAGGAAGAATAGTTGATGTAATTTTGGAAGTCTTTAGAATTGAAAGACCCCGAGATGAGACCTTCATCTACACCACGAGCAGCGCCTAGGAGGCCGAAGGAGATGACAGCGAACCATAATCGCCAATTGAAGATGTTCTTAGACTCTCCTAGTTTTTTCAACATAAAAATGTTGACCGGTTTCTTGACGCCGCCAGCCATTGTCGGATCTCCTGAGATAGCTTGAGCCTCGAGTCTTGAAATGAGAATATACGACAGAAGCCGAAAGAGACCGATAGTGGGAAGCCGTCGTGCTATATATATATATACTACCTACATAGTACATACCTAGTAGGCAGATGAAGGCATGATACTAGGTAGGTATGGGATAGAGCCGTATAATTTAATAGATTTACACACTGTTACGACTTTCTCTGGCGGGAAAGGGGCGGCGGGGAGGGGCGGAGTGAAGGGGGGGTTGATAGCAGGTAAGCGCCTTGAAATACGGCGGATATCTACTAAAAACTAGCGGATAGGTCACTGCTAAATACAGTACTAAGTACCTAGGTATGTATCTAGTAGACTAGTAGGTAGGTAGGTAATTACCTACCTATCCATTTGGTTTCGTCGCTAAGCTCTGGAGATAATTACCTAGGTACTAATAGGCACTGGGTAAGCGCACCGAAGGATGTGCGAGATGATTGGCTGATACCGAGGCGTATGCTAATGTCTGCTCATGTCATTGTTTACTGATCTACTGATCCTAGCAGATAGCTACGCTGACCTGATCGATTCTGCGTGAAGCAGCCAACCAGAGAAGGATTTCTTTAGCCTGACTAACAAAGAAAGCGACCTATCTATAGGATGCGTAGCCAATGGGTCCGGAATCCTTGTCGGGTACACGCGGGGACCCCGCGTCATCTCCTCATTCCCGGTGCGAAGGATCATGGGAAGTCATGGGAGGTCTTGGAAGTCTTGGAAGTCTTGGTAGTCTTGGGAGGTAAGGGGGCTAGCTGGCGAGGGTCGTGATATTTTGTCTTGGCTCTCCAAACAACTGGTGCCGGACTAACTATAATAGTAAGGAGGTAAAAGAAATGGGTGGACAGTGACCAGGTAGGTGTTTTCTACATTCGTCATCTTGAGCTTACTTACATAATATAGCCTGCGTAGAGGCTCTTGGCATATAAAGGTGATCAACTCATTTCCTAGCGGTGAATATTCCGAATCTTACATGCCACCCAGGTAGGTATTACATCCGGGCTTGAGACGATGGGTACCCACCTATCGTCAGAATCGCCGAAGAGGCTGAGGTCTTGTTGTTGAACTTCGGCATCGATTCTCGGGTATGGTAAATCAAGAAAAAATAAATACCTACCTAGTAGGTAGGTAGGTAGGTAGGTAGGTAAGTGAGTAAAGATAGGTAATAGGGGGATTAATTAGAGTGAAACCCGAATCAAAGTACTGACATATAGGTATACCTAACATTTTTAGGTGGCGTGTTCGATGTGCACTCCCGGGATGGACCGACACAAATGCGACGATATCCCGATACGCAGAGACGAGAATCTTCCTGTAGGTTGGAGACTTCTTGGATTTATCCTCATTCTCGTTCTCATTCTCATCCACAACCACATCCACAATCATCTAGACCTCTTCTTTATGGATATCTACTAGATTAAGGAAGCGCTTCCGAATGGATCCAGATTCTGCATGTGCTGAGATAAGTGACGCGTAAAGGTCGTATTTCGCCGCATGCGATGTTGGCGAACTCATCAACCAACTGAGACCTGCTTCTGATGTGACTTTTGATGCGATTATTTGATATCCATAATCTCGAGGAATGTAGAAGAAGTTATGGATGTGAAATCACTCATTGTCTTAGGTTTGCGGTCCAGACCATAATTCTCAGGACTTTAAGACTAAAAAATTCAGCTAATCTTTTTCTATTTTTTTTTTTCGTATACAGTTACATCCGACTTACATACCTATTAATATATGCTTAATGCACCTGTCAATCCGAGCACCTCGCATAGTTGTACAGCGCGATGTTGTATTGCTGTTTCGTGACAGGGGCGGATGTTGAATTCCACGATAGCTTCGAATATTGTCGACCAACGAGTCTTAGACCCGATGAACAGAATCAATGCTAATTGAGGTAGTTACCTAAATGTTTCTCCAAACCAAATATTTTCACACTAATCAAGACATTTAGATTGCTCAATGTTAGGTAGGTACCTACCTATGGTTATGACTCTACCCGATTTGTACCGAGCCGTCTAGGGGTACCTAAGTTAGTCAAACCCGCCGGTATATCCCTTATTTTCGGAATAGCTACTTCCTGATCCTTCGGCTTAAGAAACCAAAGCTTATATCAAAGTGCCGAGTTATTTGCGACTTTAGTGCACATAATAGAATACCAAGCAACGGGACGTCGGCTGCTAGTAATGAGGTAAAGCTTGCTCGTGATAAGGCTTCTTGGCAGGTTTAAATTATTTAGGTTTATCTAGGTAGTTTTATCTTGTTTTATCTTAGCACACTAAGCATATTAGTATATAATCTTTTTCTTCCTCTCAGGTGATGTTGAAAGTTTCGTGAGATTAGGTACCTAAGTAGGTAGGGAATTGGATTAGTCTGACGGGGTTCTTTAAGGGTGCTTTATTTTTATTATGTTCAACTCGGGTATAGGACTTATTAATACCTCTAGACCAATCCCACCCCATTCTTGCTATCACAACCCGGATATTTCCTATGATGGAAGATACCAACAGTCAAGTCTTAGCATCTTACCTAACAACCTAGCAGCCTACTAGGTAGCTGTTCACTTTCCAGCGTGGGGAAATGAGGGGAGAGGGGGAGAGGATTCGGAGGGGAGAGAGGGGCGAGGGACGAGGGGAGATGGGGGAGATGGCGCCAGTTTCCAGTGTTTTCCAAGCGTTCCAAGCGTTCTAGATGACGCTGTCTCTACGCTGTATTCTAGACTTTGATAATTAACCCGACAACCTAGTCCGTTTTCTATATGTTCCTTAAAAGCGCCCCAGGGTTTCCTTGCCCCGCTAAGCCGCTAAAAATTCATGGTGCGGCTGACCTTCGGCTTTGGCTTATTTCGGTATGGTTCTAAATGATGTAACTGCATGATAACGCGCAGCCCTAGGCGATTAAAAGCACGAGGTAGAGGTGTCAATAGGTACTGATACTGGTTGCATAGACATTCACCCGTATCCCCGAAGGGGATACTGCGCTTTAACTAGCAAAATGGGCAAGAATTGCAATTTAGCCCGAGGTACTTCCGATATAGTAAGGTTTACATATATATTTTATGTACTCTCTCTTAAATACGTATCCTTTGTAATTACATTTATTACTAGTCTTATTTTAATAAGCGTAAAGATGTAACTAAAGCTTAAGGCTTTATGCAAATATAACCTATCGGGTAATATTCGGATCGTCTTGCAATTCTTGCCCATTTTGCTAGTCAAAGCGCAGTATCCCCTTCGGGGATACGGGTGAATGTCTATGCAACCAGTATCAGTACCGAGGAGAAAGGTAACATTGCTAAGTAATAAACTATAGTACATATGCGGTACTTCGCAAGGACATGTAAGCCATCTAAGTTCAAACCCTTACACAACATATTGTCTGTAGATCCGCTTAAGAATTGGAGAAATTGAGTTGACAATTAATTATATGTAGTTAGTGTATGTATGTAACAGAAACATAGAAACACAGAAACATAACCCCAGATTTGTGGATGGGGCAACTGGGGCAACTGCTGGGGCTGCTGGGATTATAATGATGTTGGCGGTTCGTGGGGAATCCGACTTTATTTAATATTTGATAGGTTCACCGATACCCCTTGCTTCCTCCTCTTTGAACGTAACGTTTATATCATAGCTTCATGGGTTGTTCTTGGAAGTCGAGTTTTTACTACCTACCTAACAACCTACAGTATTGTGCAGTAGGTAGTAAGTAGGTATGTTCTCGGAAGGGAGCCGATATTCGGTTCGCTTGGTGAGAGTTAACCGAAGTTATACGATACATTATAGTAATAGTCTTTGTTCTCTTTGCTGACTACTAGGTACATCCCTAGGTAGGTACTAGGTAAGAAAGAACCTTGAATTCATGGCCAGAGAAAATAGAGTGGCGGCCGCAATCACCGAGCTAAGCCAGCTAAGCTCGTATGGCATCCGTGCCCGATGGTCCCTTCCATTCTCACGACACCATAACGTTAAACATCAAGGTATCTTGGGTATCCAATCATCATCCTCAGAACTTACATACATAATCCCGGCTACTCCCAGGGATACAATTCCTTTCCCCCGCACCCGCATATTCGAGAGATAGTTACATACATGTATCCTGTCTCTTGAAGTTTTTTGGGGGGTTAAGGCCAAAGTATCGTTCTTGTACTGTTATCGTCATTAGCTCGGTCACCACATTATAATAAAATAACCTTGGAACCTGTTGGCCGCTTTCCCGTCCTTCCAGTTATTATCGTTGTTGTGTTTTATTCTACCGTATTCCTTTCACCCATCCTCATTCATCTCTATCCGTCCCCTCCTCTCCCCTGGACTCGTTTAAATACGACCAGGTCCCTCGCGGCTCTGTTCTTTGTGCGTTTCCTTCGGTTATCTTGGATAAACGAAAACATCAATAGCAGACAGAAGTCTGACATAGCCAACCAGTACCTAGCTAAAGCAGCAGCAGCAGCAGCAGCAGCAGCTACGCAGTAGCAATAGCAGTAGCAATGGCAATGACAGCATTCGAAGATGACTCCAATTTCTATCCTCCGCATCATGGCATGTCGGTCAGAGAGTATCTCGCTACGCGAATCTCTACGCTGAAGCCTCCGATGACGAAAGCACCCAACCCCATTCGCCTGGTTAGGATGTTGACTCGTCGTCAATGGGCTTTCTTTTTTGTCGCATTCTGGGCTTGGGTATGTTTTCTTCATAATGATAATGATAATTCTATACCTATTGTAGGTATTTGTTGCTGACAATATATCCGACATAGACTTGGGACGCTTTCGATTTCTTCACCGTCTCTCTGACAGTGGACGAATTAGGCAAGACCTTCAACAAGTCCAACACGGACATTACCTGGGGAATCACGCTCGTTCTAATGTTCCGGTCCCTGGGTTCCATTCTTTTCGGTGTCGCGGCAGATCGGTATGGTCGAAAATGGCCATTCATCGTTAACAATATTCTCTTCATTGCGCTTGAATTGGTAAGTCATACAAAATACGTCGGGTCACACATCAAGTCATACATCACCTGCATTGATCGGAGATCCAATCCAAGACCAATGAAGCCTATGAAGCCAATGAAGCAACCTCGTCGCGTGGTGTTTCTCCCTCCCACATCTTGGCAGAACTTGGCGCAGTGTTAGCAAAAAGCTTCGCGAATCCCCATCTTCTGTTACCCGTCCCATTCTTTTTGCTCGCTTAACGTCCGGACGTGGACCGTTTAGGTATCGATCGCTGACCTGTTACATTTTTCAGGGAACCGGATTCTGTCAAACGTACGGCGAATTTCTCGCCTGTCGCGCCCTCTTCGGAATCGCCATGGGCGGTCTTTACGGAAACGCCGCCGCAACGGCTCTCGAAGATCTGCCCGACGAAGCGAGAGGTTTGATGAGTGGTATTCTTCAGCAGGGCTATGCATTTGGTTACCTACTCGCTACCGCCTTCGCGCGTGGTTTAGTCGATACCACATCTCATGGCTGGCGTCCGCTGTTCTGGTTCGGCGCCTGTCCTCCTGTCCTCTTCATTCTCTGGCGTCTCATTCTGCCTGAGACCGACACGTACGAGCAACACCAGGAAATGCGGCGCGCCAACGGAAGCGTCGGGAAGACGTTCATACAGGAAGGAAAGGTCGCTCTCAAACATCATTGGATGCTTTTGACGTACCTGGTCCTCCTCATGGCTGGCTTCAATTTCATGTCGCATGGCTCCCAAGATCTATACCCGACTATGCTGAAGAACCAGTTCAACTTCAACTCCAACCAAGTCACCGTCACCCAAGTAGTCGCAAATCTTGGCGCCATGTCCGGAGGTGCTGTCGTCGGTTTCTGTTCGCAGATTTTCGGTCGACGTCTTAGCATTTTGGTCATGTGCGTTATCGGCGGCGCCTTGCTCTACCCGTACGGCTTCGTGTCTAACGAGAGAATTATCGCCGCCGCCTTTTTCGAGCAGTTCTGTGTTCAGGGAGCCTGGGGTGTTATCCCCGTGCATCTGATGGAACTGTCGCCTGGCGCGTTCCGAACCTTCGTCGTCGGTACTAGTTACCAACTCGGAAATCTCGTGTCGTCTGCTAGCTCAACCATCGAAGCCACTATCGGAGAGCGTTTCCCCCTCCCACCCAAGGGCACCACGAAGCGATACAACTACGGCATCGTAATCTCTATCTTTATGGGCTGCGTGTACGTCTACGTGATCGTCCTGACTATCCTAGGCCCCGAGCATCTGAATAGGAAGATGGACGTCGGCCACGACGCTGACGCAGTCGAGGCAGCAGGACAGGAGAACGTCAGCAAGGCTCTAGCGCATGGGCGCGACGCCTCTGCCAGCGAGGACGGTGACCCGGAGAAAGGGACAGCTAGCCACCACTCTCCTTAGAATTTGATCAGCATTAGCTAAATCGTATCCAACAAGGCGCAAGCTGACGCCGAGCAAGCCGCTAAGACCATTATGCCTGGTCCAAGATAGGGATAGCCCCTCCTGGCGGCGACCCACGGATGATGAAAGATAACGACTCCTTTCTGTGCTCCCTTTAAAAGTTCTTTTTTGAAATAAGTTTTTTGATTACCCGGTATCATACATTGGCATAAATATTGTATCGGCGGTGGATTTTAGGATGGGGACTCGTTTGATACCACAGGCAACCGGATGATATGGGATAGCGATAGCGATAGCAGAGGAGTCTTTTTTTATTTTTATTTTATTTTAGAGGCTATGGCTTGGCACGATGATGATTATCGATCTAAATGATTTGAATAGAGAAATATTGGTCAAGCTATAGATATGAGAGTCACTTGCCTTTGACTGCTTCTTTCTATGCTTTCTTCCAATGTCACAGAATGAACACCAGAATCGTCCGATGACTTACACGACGCAAGACTAAAGATAGGGTTGCATACAGGTACAGTAGGTATGTGATATGTGACCGATCCTTTTTCGTCATCGGTACGACGGCTTGGACTTCGGCGAGTGGCATCCGAGTGTGATCGTATAACTGACGATCTCTCGGCCTCGAGTGCCGGGACGTTCTATCATCATATGGCGGGCTTGGCTTTTCGGCCGAATAAGGCTCGAACATGGCGTGACTGGTCCGGTTGGGCAAGGCGCCGAGCAAACGGAATTGTGCTTAGTTCGTCTTGGCTGTCTTGGGTTGGAATATGATGCCCAGAAGGTGGTCCGTCTCCGTGGTCTGGGTCCCACTCGCAAGCCGACGTGTTACGTGATGTATTCAAAGGGATGGGGATGTAGACGTCACATGAGATGTGTTGTTCAATTACGAATTCTGGTTATACAATTGCCGGCACTTTGCTAGTATGTACCTAGTTAGATCCAAACCAACTTTGGGACTCGTATAGTTAGGTATTTAGTAGGTATTACGTTCATGTGGTAACGTTTTCACCGAAGTCCATATAAGGCAGTCTCAACAGTAGAAGCTCGCCAAGTAGCATCCCTTGCATTGGATACCATATAATATCAATTACTACTAGATATATGAGATGGACTAAGTCTTGAGATTATCATACCTACACACTTACCGGTACTTAAGCTGTACTCGAGCTTTTATCAAGGATTGTTACGAATGTTTACCTATTAATATTACCTGCGGTAGGTAGACTTGGCCTATTTTACCCAGGCACTCATTATCAGTATTTGTAAATGCCCGTGATCCTTAGCCCGACCTGTTAGATCTTTCTAACTTCTTTCCCATTCCAGGTTTGTATGTTGACTGGTCGCCGAGGCAATTTCCTCTTCTATAATTCCAAACAGAGCTCTCCAGGATACCTGATTCATGGCATGGGATATTTCTATACTCACATTTTTCCAATGAGGTAATATACCTGTTTTCCCATTGGATTCCTTCCATCGCCTTATCGGTCTCTTTCATGGGCATCATCATAAATTACCCTCTCTCATTTTCTCGTTTTAGGAGCTTCTTTGGACGTTCCTCATAAAGTCGCAGGGTCGGTGGCTTTGAATCGACAGGTCTGGTCTTAGGAAGAGAGTTTTCGACTTCATCCACCATGCGATAGCAGATTGGGTGCTGCTATTCATACCACGGCCAGACTGGGCAAGAAGTAAACCGATATAGCAGCATCACCGGCGAGGACAGCTAAGAAGGCTGAGCGACATTCCCTCGGACTCTCACCCCTAACTAGTACATATCTCCTCGGGACTCAACTGCGTCCCTCACTCTACGAACAGAAATTAGGACTCGGACGATACCATTTATGTTTCTTTTTGTCAGTCCATACTATTAATTCGTCTCGTACCAAGCACTTGATACTTGTAGGCGGAGAAAGCATCTGCCCCTCGTTAAAGTGATCCGCTGAGAGAGTCCAGCATTGCATATTGTGTACCTAGTCTCCCAAATTCACAATACGAGCCATCAACAGGCAGAGTCTGGTATCTTCAGCTCGGTTAAGTAGGTGTGAATGTTGGCTGAGTTGGGATATGTGGAATAGATTTCTTCATAATTCGTCTAAGAACCCGTTAGCGAGCACATTCCCGAAAGTATCTGCTGATAATAGAAATAGGTTAGGATTTCTATAGTACGCTTATAATAACCTTTTGTGATTGGCTCCCCATGTTGGCGAATATTGGTCAGGTGTGTTGCACATAAGCAAGCAACGAGGCGAAAGAAGGCAGAAGGGGGCAAGAAGACAGGTTTTTGGTATTTTATAGGATTATTGTTGACGTCATATCGAGTCAACCTCCCATCATAAAAAATTGATCGTGCCTTCTTTTTTTCTTCCCAACTTGATTGGTCATAGTTGCCTATTAATTAACAAATGTACCTAGGTAGGTAAGGATTGAATGATAAAAAAGTCCAGTAAGGAATAATATAATTAAAATTCAAACAATTCTCAATCGCTCCTGTTCAAAGATGGAAATCAACCTTCCTCGCATCATCGACGCCACAATGCCGAATCGTGGCGATCGGAACATTGGAATTATCTCATCTAGCAACGGCTTTAACCATAATGATCCTGGATTCTTATCTAACGACTTCCCTCATTCGCCTCCCAAGTTATACATTACAGCAGAGAGTGACGATTTTGATGTACTTACAGTTAACGAATGGAAGGATGAAGGCTTCAATGTCGAGTATATTTCCATGGGAGATGGGGGCAACGAGTATCGGACGAAGTTGGAATCGCTGAGTAGGACTGACTTGGGACCCTGTGAAACATTCGGGATAGTTGGTATGTTCGTGATCTCGACCACGACGTGTGGTACTTACCTACTAGGTATCATGTGCTAACTTGGATCTTAGCCTATGGCGATGCTGCTAGTTTTTGCCTCGAGCACTTTCATGTGCTTGACAATAATTCCGAGTTTAGGCTCAGCTGTCTCGTCGCCTATTATCCTACTCGCATACCAGATCCACGTACCAGGTTTCCCGGCGGCGTTCATGTCCTCGTGCATCTCGCTAGTGGCGAGGCTGTTGGCATCGTGAAGCAGACGCAGATGATAGGAATCCAGGGGAAGAAACGGGTCGTCAAAAGGACAATAGATCGAGGCAAAGGCGCTGGTGGTGTATTGCAGATGTCTTATCCGGGTTACACCTATGATGCTACGCCCGGCTTCGCGGAACATGATCTAGACGAATTCGATAGGGTGAGCGCAGAACTTAGCTGGAGCAGAAGTTTGGCTACAGTACGAAGGGCATTTCGTAAAGACGTAGACCTAGAGAAGACGGTTGAGCAGAACGTCGAAGGTAAGCGGCCAAGCCATCATCCAATCACGCAGTGTTTGGTCGCACTAACAACCCATAGGTAAATTCTACGCACGCGATCTGCAGCAGACGTTGTCCACCTACTCAACTCATAAGAGTCCTCACGTAACTTATGTTCCAACGTTAACAGGGGGCATCGGTTCCGAAGAGCTCCAGAGGTTTTACTCTGAGTTTTTCCTTGATCGGAACCCCCCATCTGTGAAACTGAGTCTACTCTCACGTACAATCGGTGCCGACCGTGTTGTGGATGAGTTACACGTCGCGTTTAAACACACCCAAGAGATGCCGTGGATTCTTCCAGGAGTGCCGCCCACCAATAAGAGAGTCGAGATTCTAGTAGTGAGCATCGTAACCCTGCGTGGAGGGCAGCTGTGCCATGAACACGTCTACTGGGACCAAGCGAGTGTGCTAGTACAGATTGGTCTATTAGACCCAAAGGTTGTGCCAGTGAAAGCAAGAGAAAAGGGGCTCAAGAGACTGCCGGTTGTCGGAAAGGAGGCGGCTAGGCGCGTACAGCGAGGTTATGACGAAGGCGACGAGGGCGAAGCTACGAATGAGCTGATAGCCGAGTGGAATGACGATATTGATGACGACGACGCTTATAATGATGGAAACAATAATACTAGCAAGAATGAAAAGAGCGAAGAGAAGGAGAGGAAGGATGAGAAGCCGGAACATTCGCGGGAGCGCGAGTTTGAGAAAGAGAGTCCAAGTCAGCCACCTATCGAAGGCGAGAAGTCCGAAGCCAGTTAGCAGGAAACAAGCCCACGGCATGAAACTAGGTACACAATTTCCTTCGCTCATTTCCAGTAGGTATTGTACCTACCTGTCGCGCCGCCCACTGAGATCTACCTACTAAGCCCACTAAGCCCTACGGATTATCCAGTAAGGAAATTAATAACCGTTGGTGGCTTAAAGACACGACACGATCGGCGTGTGAACGACTCCGACAGCCGATCAACCAATCTGGATACGTCTAAGGATAAGACGCCAAGTTCTAGGGACGGCTGGGACGGCTGGGACGGCTACCTGCCAGTCTGCGAACCTATGAAGATGAATATTTAACTGGATATGATTTTCGTCGAGGAAACAAAGATCAAGGAGCGCATTGATATGTGAAACATCTATCAACTAATCCAAACCTACCATCCAGCCATTCAGCCATCGTAAGCGCCACCTACTAGGTATATCTGATCATCACGGACTTATATGGGACCCCATATTTCAATGCTTAAGGTGAAGCCCTTACCAGTCATACATAGGTAACTACCTACTTACTCTGCTACTTCAAGTACGCAAGCACGCAAGGTACTAGGTATTCTAGAACGCCAAGATATATATGTGACTTTGGGGCTGTCGTCGTGGGGTAAGGGAAGAATAGGCGAAACAAAAGCGACAATGCCATGATGCCATAGCAGAAACTACGGGGGCAGGTTATCCCTGCTACTTTCTGTAGATCAAATCTGCCTACGACATAACAGATCCATGGATGTAGTACAGCTGCACAGTTACTACCTGTAGGTACCACTTAGGCCGCGTTTCATGAAGTGGAATGTCAATCCATTCACGTCGTATTGCGACGTCCATCTACCGAGGTGGAGTATTTGATTTAGTCTTTGCTTGCAGTAGCGTATTATACCAGGGGGTTAATACAGAATACTCTGTATGAGATATGGGTCCGGCATATGAGGTTTGGTTTAACCAATCGGGATTTATGTACAGCGTACAAGCCTCACCACCATCGCAGCGAGGGTCCCAGATACCTAATTATCATTAGATCATTAGATCATTATCTACTATGTAGGACCTACATAGGTCTATCGTTAGGTAGGTATCTGTCGTTTCAGCCTCGCCGAATCTACAGACGAATCTACAGACGAATCTACAGATGAATCTACGACGACGAGGTAAATGTTTCCGGCTCGCTTGCGCATCACGAATCTTTCGTCAATCTTGAAATCGAAACACCGCGAAGTCGAAGACGGAATTTATACCTACCTAGGTACCTAGGTATTTACCTATTTACCTATTTATCTATTTGCCTATTTACCTACTAGGTAGGTATCTACCTATCTACCTAATAGTAGGCAACTCGTCGTTCGTAGGTAAGCAAACAAGAAGTGATACACAAGAGACGAGGTGCTTCGTTACATCAAAACACAAAATGTTCAAAGAAACTCGGCAGTGAAGTTCTCCATCATAGCCTATCTAGAGACAGTTATCCCGATTGAGGCGTTTATCGAACGAATCTAGACTCAGAACGAGTTAGACCTTCATCGAAGAAGGCTAGTGAACCAGGTTGCCGTGATAAATCGAGCCGGATCGACAGGGTCTTGGCAGTTTCCGACCGACTTGTCAATGTGGGATGTCGTTTTACCATCCCAGCGATCCACGGTCAAGTCCCGCCCGCGCGCTTGAGACGACTACTGTGGTGCTATGTATGTAAGACGACGGAACACTCAAGATGAAGATCAATCGCAATAAACCTACTAGCATCGTGGAATTGTGGAGTTGTGGAATTGTGCGCGCAGTTCTCCATATCCCATGGACCCATCCTTGTCCTCTTTTTTGACAGGCAGACAGGTAGACAAGTAAATTACATACCTACTAAACAGAATGGACGACAGGTTCATCATGGCTGCCCATGCTGCCCATGCTGCCCATGGTTCTCGATGAGCGAACCGGCACGGTACTACCCCTTGTCCTGCGACATCTTCATGCTTTTGTCCATCTGATGATCAACAGCTCGACCGCAGGGAGTCAGGTATAGCCACTGTCGATTATCCCATCGAGCCCGCGATAGTCATTACTAATTACACTCCATGCTAGTCGATCTCCTCAAGGTTGCCCAAGAAGAAAATCAGTTTAAGTATGCTTCGATATCACCAATTTTGATATACGAGTTTCTTTTCTCGTCATCCCTTTCCTTCTCTTCTCCTTTTTTCTCTTCCACCATCCGACTGGATACTGCCGGCAGTATCTATTTTCATTCTCTTTAATTCAACTTCTCTTCGTTTCATTTGAGCGTGTTTAATTAATAGATCCTCACTTTATTTTTCTTTATTTTTCTTTTTTCATCCATCTTTTTTTTTCCTCTACTTTAGAACATCTGTATCTTTTTTTCCCTTATTCTCGTCAAGATGGGTATGTGGGTGCTAGAAGATCGTTACCTGGACAGGCCTCCAGGAACGTCCAAGCTGGGTGAAGCCCAGGATGTCTCCCTCGACTCAGGTGAGTTGCGAGAAGTATATACCATCTACCATCGTCTCGCAGGCTAACCGCCTCTCTAGCAAGCACCAGTGAATTGAAAAAACAAGGCGACATCATCCTCGTTCCGCAGCCGAGTGACTCGCCAAACGACCCGCTAAACGTGAGTAACCTATCCTCAATGAGCGAGGAAAAGGACGTGAGGACGAGACGGGGCTAACGCAAGGACGCAGTGGTCGAAAACATGGAAGAATGCGATCATGTTCACTCTCGCGTTCAGTTCTGGTGTCACAACCTCGTAAGTGAACTTAATAGGAGACATAAGCTGAGATGTACAAACGCCCTAACACACTCACAGATTGGGTCCTATGATCTCGCCAGGTTTGGTTATCATCAGCCAGCAGTATAATATCGATCCAGATACAGTCGCTACTTACATGGTCGGCGCCATCCTTCTCTTTACCGGCGCAATCACCTTTTTCACCGCTTCCGGGGCGAACGTTTGGGGAAAGAGACCGTTTTTCGTGATTTCCACCCTCCTGCTACTAATCTCTAATGTCTGGGGTACCTTTGCGGATGTAAGTCGACTGATATCTACCTACCTACCTAGGTAGGTAACCTGTCTCTATCGCCTGTGATACTAATCGACATACTAGTCTTTCCCTTCGTTAGCTGCTATGCGAATCTTCCAGGGTATTGCATCGGCCCCATTAGAGACATTGGTCACGTCCTCGGTTTCTGATTTGTACTTCGTTCATGAAAGAGGATTGCCTCTCTCGATTTGGGGTGTGATGACGGCGACGGGCGTCCTGCTAGGTCAGATTATCTCTGGTTTCATCATCGAATCTATGGGAATCTCTGGAGCTTTTGCCATAAGCGCTCTCATCTTCTGTCTGGTCCTGCCGCTAATGTATTTCGTCGTCCTCGAGACCTCATATACGAAGCCGCGAACCCCTGGTACCACCGTCGATCAGCGTCCGGATTCTCGGTCATCGTCGATAGACATTAAAAGGGATCTTAAAGGTGACTTGGCCACCGAGCCCAAAGAGAGTTACAAAAGCCAACTTCGCCTCTTCCGTGGCCGAGTATCTGACGAGTCCTTCTGGAAGGGCGTGTTCAGGCCATTCCCTCTGATTTTGTTCCCCGCCGTCGTCTTCTCTACTCTCGTCTACGGAGCTTTCTTCTGTTGGTTATTGATGATTGGCGTGCTGTCCGTCACTATCTTCTCTGTGCCTCCATACAACCTCAACCCGGCTCAGATCGGACTTACCAACATTCCCCTCGCTATTGGCGCTCTTATCTTCTCGCCCATATCCGGGTGGATGGCCGATGCTCTTCCCGTTTGGATGGCAAAGCGTAATAATGGTATTTTCGAACCCGAGTTCCGCCTTATCCTTATGGTTATTGCCATACCTCTTTCTACCGCAGGTTTCATCGGATTCGGATTAGCAGCCTCGAGGGGATTGTCTCTCACCTGGTGCCTCGTGTGGATCACTCTGCACTCGATCGCTGTCCCCTTTGCTTCTCAGGCCTCGATCAGCTATGTCATCGATTGTCACACCAAAGATGCCAATCAGGCTTTCGTAACCATCAACTTCATCAAGGCAGTCTTGAGCTTCGTCGCTTCGAGCATCGGAAACGGTCTGCTTGCCAAATATGGCGCCGAGTCCCTTTTCACGGGGATCGCGATAATGAACCTGACAATTAGCCTCCTTACTATTCCTAGCTATATTTATGGCAAGAGAATGAGGAGCTGGATGGAGAGGAGCGGTTGGACATCAAAGTTCTAAATCTTTGGACGAGGATTGGGAAATAGTTGGGGTGCCTGCCTACCTACTTAAGGTGCCTAGTAATAGCTGCTCACATTTCTGTTTTAGATCAGTATCACGAGAAGTTTCCCCACGATGAAGGATTCCAGACCCTGTACTTAGAAGGTCAAAAGAAGGTCAAAAGAAGGATCTATGGTCACCTGCTCTGGTTCAGCGTGCCTTTTCTTATGTTATATAGATGACGGACCCGCATATAAATGGACATCTGCTATAACAACCCCTTAGAGCGAATGAGATATAACCTGTGGTTTCATTTTTGGAGAGTCCCTGAGCCAGGATTGCATTCTATTGTGAAAATTTGAGCCATCAAAGTCGACGGCAGTTTTTCTCTTTACATAGGTAAGTTCACCTTCCTCACCGGCGGGCATCGGTTACTGGATCCGTGTTTACCCCGTTAGTGATTGCATCTGATGAGATCGGTGGGCTTGTCTAGGTAGGTATTTCACCCCACATTCAGTATTTGGGTAGTTGAAAAGGGGGGCTGGAGGGGAGCATTTCGTCCAGTTACCTACTAGATAGATATATTAACAACAGTATCCGTACATATAATACCTCGTAACTACAAATCCAGTATATCTAAGCCCCCTCAACCTTTCTCCTACTCTCGCCATGCGGTCTATGTCGTCGCGGGTTCAACCTATTCTGTTCGCCACAGTCACCGCAAAGCGTCGAACCGTTCTCTCGCTCCAGTTTGCACTTGCACGTACAGTTACAGCCGCGATACGTCGGGTCGTTTTTACCCCAGAGCTCGACGCGCTCGCAGACAAGACAGAGTGTCGGTGTCAAGGCTCGCGAGCTTGGTTTTAGTTCGGAATTGTAATAATGGTCGGGCTCTTGGGCGTGGCTGCGACACTGGCAATGTTTGCAGGCACAGGGGCGGCGATGAGCCATTATTGGTGATCTAGGTAGGTGTGAATTTGATATGGTCTCGCGATTTTGAGCAGTAGGTTTTTTATATTCGCTTTGTTAATAGCTTAGATGACAGGGTAAAGCCCCTCGAATGCCCAGGCAGCCAGGATATCAGAGTATAAGTAGGTACACAATAAATACGATAGAGAGGGGGATATAATAGTAGCAAATCGTCATTATTGTAGCATCTCATCCGAGTTCCCTACACCCATGCCTAGAAATCTTTGTTCTATTAGTCTTCAAAGACCCCAAGTGCCATCCATATATAGTGCATTCTTTCACGTTCTTTTGTGTAGGAGTTGATAGCAAGAAGCCACATATACAAAGAAGTGCTCTGAAAAGCGCACCTCGAGTTGAGGTCGTTGAACCTGATACCATCAAAATGCTAGTTTTGTTTTTGACATGCTTCATTTACTATGAAATCTGATGTTATGCAAACGCAGCCAAGCCACTCACCATGCCATACAAGGTACCAGGTACGCACGCATATGCGTTCGTCCCTTCGTCCAACCATAACTCCGATACGACCCAAGGGCCAAGTATATGCTGATGCAAGACTCTAATCCCTAATGAATGTGATTATTCAAAGGAGGTTAAAAGATAAAACCCCTTTGTCGACGATGTCTAACCTCACTCCATTTCAAAGTAGACTCTCACTTTCTGTCTTGGCGTTGAAACTCTTGGTGAGATTCTCAATCAGTGCTTTGAGTTGCTCTACTTCATCTCTCAATTTCTTGACCTCGATTACGGCTGGATCGTCCTCGATGTTGGCTTTACTCTCGGCGACCTTTTTCGACCAACCTTCGCCTTCGAAGTCGACATTACCCGCCATCTGTTCCCATTCTTCTTCGGTATCGTCGTCTTCTTCGCCCCTTATCCTGTTACGTCGAATTTCCCTAGCCATCCTAACTTCAAACAAAGCAGAACAGAAAAGCAGTGGCGAGTAGATGATACCCATCACAATATCATTGAGGCGCTCATACTGTTTCTTAGCCATCCACCATTCGAAGGGGATGACCAAAAGAAAAATTTCGACTAGGTTGAATGGTGCAATAAAAACGTTCTCATCGGGAGCTCGCACAAACTGCATGGTCTTTTGGGAGAATAGCGCAAGGAACTCATCGTCAGCATTGTCGTAGATATCTCCGTAGGCGCTATTGTAAAGTGCGATGAGCACGTTTAAGAGAATCACCATGACAACAAAGGTGAAGAGATAGTAGAGGATGATTCCAAATGGCGGACTAAAGCGCTCAAATCCGCTGAAATCGGGACTCTGCATAATGGCATTAGCCATGGCTTGAAGGATAAAAAGCGTGTCCTCTCCAGCCATATCGTCCGCGTAGTCCATCCCTATGAACGCCTGGAGAAAGCCGATTATAACGACGACCAACAAGGCAAAGAATATGATGCTCTCTTTCATCATCACCTTGACCACAACAAGCATTGCGCCGAAGAAGCGAAAGGAGTCCAGGTAGAGTAGCAAGCGAGCCCAGAACATGGGCGCTGTAAATGCGAGAAAGTTGTACGATAGTTGGTTGAACTTCTGACGGGAATCACCATCCGACGAATGAGAGAATGCGACTAGGCGCATAGCAAGCGACACCATTAGAAGAGAGTATAGGGCATTATTGAATGCGTTCCAGAAACTAAGAATATGGTAACCGGCTTTATACAGCTTGGTGAGCTCGTCGAATATAAAACCGAAGGTGAAAATGTAGAGAAGAATCTCGACAAAGTCAAGGTCACCACCAGGGTTAATGGTGTTAATAGCGCCAGTGTATAGAGCGAGGTAGACGATGGACGTGATCAGTTGGAAGGCATTCTGGTACATGGGGGCTCGCATTCGGTCGGGATCAAGGTGTGGGAGGAAAAGAGTATTATCACGATCCTTGTAATCGACGAAGCTCGAAGGGTCGTTCTCGTCCTGCACAAGCCATCCTTTCCAAAGATAGTTGATGCATTTCTGATAACCGGAAGAGCCTATCACACGTAGAGCGTGTAAGTCGACAGCCTTCTCGATGACATTGACAGGTGGCGTGGCCTCGCCGTCGACAACGATCGAATAGCGCTTAAGCAAGACGGACTGTAGCAGATACGGTATATCATCTTCAGCCTCTATGATCTGCTTCGCAATGACCTCACAGGCGACCGCGCGGACTTGATGTAGCTGAGCATCCCAGAGCTCGACTAAAGCTTGGTGTTTAAACCAACGATTGACTATCAGCAGACAGAAAACCACACACGAACGATTCTCTAGACCGCCGGCTTCTTTCGCAGCCTTAACAACTTTGGGAGTGATTACTCTACTGTGAGACTGGGTAACGCGCTCTTCTTCTAGTTCGCATGGCACGCATTGCTCGATGAGGTATCGTAGACGGAGGGCAATCTTGGTAACTTCGGGGGGAGGAATGGCGGACTCGATCGAGTCTTCACGATGAGTAGGGAGGACTTCATAGCGGATAGTCCGACGTCTGTTAGCTAAGAAGTTCATTCTTGAACAATTAGAGTATTACGATAGTTCCCAAAATCAAGAAGCAAAAATCGAGAAACTCCAGACATTGAAGATAATAGGGTAGCAGTAAACAAGAGCCGGATTCATTAACTACTAGTTAAGTACTTACGTCTACGGCGAGATTCATGGACAGACCAGTCGTGATGATTTTGCGAAGGGTGACGATCCCATCCTAGAAGCTTCCTCCAATTGAACCTTCCCATACTTATTCAGAAAAAGAAATGACGATGGATTTAAAAGTATTGTTCTCGCAACAACCAACGCCAATTTCGGAGGAAGTATATGTCGATGGCATCGATTGCATCGATTGTAAAGAAGTTGTAAACTCGCAGAGAATCTGAAGAGGGCAATCGTACCTAGGTGGGTTTCGAATCGAGGTTGTGATGGACAAAGACGAGAAAGGAAGGGTCAATTGGCGTTAGAGGATGTACCGGTATGCGATTTCCTTGATTTCGCAAATTCGCGATGCGATCTGGTTGGAGAATTGGAAACTCAAAAGCAACATGACGTTTACAGTGGGGGGGAACTGTGAAACATTGACATCTCGTAAAAGCTAAAACCTCGATACCGGAATATTTTGTTCTTGATATAAGCAAAATATGCAGTTATTAGTTAAGATCTTACCTTTCATGTGAATCCAACCTTGAATTACTAGGTATGTTTTAGTTTTCTGATTTTCACCTTCCACTCCTTAAGTTGTCTAGGTAGGAATTGGAAGTCAGGTCCTACGAAATCCAGATTCCAAGAGTCACACAAACTCAATGATACATCGAATCCCTGGGTTTCCAATTTAGGAAGTGGGAAACGGGAAACGGGAAATGATTTTGCGCGACAACAGATCTTCAACCTGATGGCGAAAAAAAAACAATATCGGAGAAAACGATCGATACCCAGGTGCAGGTGTTTCCATAAATTGGCGCCACGGCAAACTCCATCGAAAAAAAATAGGGCGTATGTGAAGCTCCAACTTCTCCGATTCGTCGATTCATCATCATGAATACAGACATGCAAAGAAAGATATGATTACATTATTCATATCTTGTCTTGATCGCTGATCCTTGGTATCTTGTTCCGGATTTGTTCATGTCCCTATTTGCGTCGCCTATGTCGGTATAATAGGCAAGGGATATAATAGAAATTTGTTGCTCCATAAGCTCATTCCGTACGGCACAGATGCTTTTTTTTTTTTTTTTTTTTGTGTAGCGTTGGGTTCCATGGCCGCGGAATCCTGCTTGCTCGCAAATGAACTCTCCGTCTCCCCGTCTCGCCGAATGACGAGTGGGTTTCTATCGTCGGATTGCGACTCTTCGATGATGCACTTAGCTGTCGGGCGACAAGTTGCACCGTTTGAATCTTAACGCTCATCTAACCTTAGCCGATGGCGTTGTCTTCCTTCCTGCAAACTCCCGGTACGACGACGGGATAGTTCGCCAATATTGAAAAAAAAAAAATCAAAACGAAGAGAAATACCTCGGATCCCAGTCGTCTAAGACGAAATGTACATTCCGAAGGTATTCATTCTGTGTACCTTTCCGATGATTTAGAGGGTTACAAACATGCCGCAAATCTAAGCCTGTCAAGTGCGAGTAGATTCTTGCATGTGTAGGTATTACCTTTCCACCGGCTTGGGTCGATTTTTGTTGAGGTGAGGCTTCATGGGAGCGCCTAATTGATTGGACAAGCAATGTCGGTGTAGCGCTGCAGATATTTGATGAACGGTCAGCCAGAGCCGTTGGTTCTCCGACGCTGCATCGCATATGACCCTCGAGATTGCTGGTTCGGCAAAAAGAAAGAAAAAACGAGATATAACCAGGAGGAATTTATTCCTCCGTCCAAAGGTCCCCTCTAGAGAGGAGTACGAAGGCCAACTTCGGTGAAGAGTGCTTTGGGAAGATCTCGGATGTGAGAGTAACATTCTCTCCAAAGCCTGCCTGCTTGATTGAGTCACAGCACCAGTTCCATCAAGAGGCTGTATAGGCCGTGCGCCTTTCGAGAATTTCGGTGTTGCCGCGACTTATATGCCTGGAGCGGTTCTGCTCTAAGTTATACGCCGCCGGTCGGTTCTATTTCTAGGTAGATAAAATGGGCTTCAGCCTTGCCTTTGCTTTTTTTTCTTCCGTACGAGCACAGGGGCCAACGTCAGTTGCCTATCTGAAGGCGTACCAAGAGGTAGGTACCTAGGCTGATAGGCACCTAAGCAGCTAAGTAGGCAAAGCGATGGGGAACATCACCACTACATACAGCTTGTCGATCGACATGACTAACACATTATGCTCGCTAGCTAGGCAACCGGCGGCGCAGCAAATCGAAAAATTTATTTGCATCGCATATGTACGCGGCAGTTAACTACTTATGTAGGTATATCTTATCTACCGGTCGATCATATCATATCAGAATGTATTTGCATGTCTTCTGTTGGCGTGCCATGTCCGTAAAAATGACACCATTGGCTCTGCCAGCTTTTTGGGCTTGGTCAGGTGGCAGTGCTGCAGGTAAGAGAAGGCGACTCGGACTACAGTAGCATTATGGAACGAGCCGCTTAAGACACTCAGCGACCGGCATAATAGGGCGAACAAGTTTACTGGAGTATTCTAAAGGCGCGTGAGGCAACCACGCAGCCATCAATGGTCGCCTTCTATTCAACCCGCTCTATCTCTATCTACGGACATGTACTACGGTTACATCTGGAAGAGCGAGTGTGCATTACTACCTCAAAGTGACTCTAAATGCTTACATACCTTTGTACCTCGTCTTAGTCTTAATGGCCTCTACATAGGTAGTTCTGGCATTGATGCTAGTTCGAACGTATCTTACTTGTATCGAGAAGGATTTACGATGACCAAGCCCCTTTTGTTAAGGCAAACGTCCAGATGTCCTGTAAGTGAATGTGGATGTAGTGGGGTTGATCCGGGGGTCTAGACTACAGTACCTACTAGGTAGTTTCTTCGATTTATCTTGGGCGCTAACATAACACAAATAGATTCGTACATACGGTAATATTGATTACTTACATATGGATAGCATAGGACTACCTACCTATTAGTCTGCCAGTATTAGTTTCTAATAGATAATAGGTAGCCAATATACGAGCTGTACAACATAGATGAGTAGCTCGAGCTACTAAGTATTCTATTAGCCAAACTCACACCCTTGTCAACTTTGTTAACCAACCACAATACTAGGTAGGTATTCTACTACCTACCTAGTACTGCCCAGGTGTTTTAATCAGATGCTGTCATCTGAAGAACAGCCTAGAGGTGGAACAGGTTGCAGCAACGCTACAGTTGTGTATCCAACTATCAATACATGCCAGGTGCTAGGCTAGGTACCTAGCTAGGTAGGTAGACAGCCCGGTATGTGGGTACGTTTATCAATTGATACCTATACCTACATGTATGTATGTATGTATGTATGTATGTATGTATGTATGTATGTATGTAGTAGGCATTAATGTGAGCAGGCGCAGGCGCCAGACAGAGTACCTAGTAGGTAGGTACATGCACATGTATATATGAATTCAAGATGTAGCTCCTGCACGTATTATACTCCTACCAATAAATGTAGAGTATCATGCAGTTATGATATAGCTACTAGGTAGGCTAGTTGATCGGCGCCACTGCCTTGTCACTCCCTTCGGTACCTATAGCGACTTCTTGTTAGGATGCGAAGGCAGGAAGGTAAGCAAGTTTAATGGGTGTCATCGCTGCCGTCTTTTCTTTGGTTTGTTTAAATCCAAGCCCTAGAAGTGAAGTCGGTAGTACAATACAAGGTTCTCAGTGTTATTAGACCATTAGACCGCTGTTCAAGATTTGCATATATCCATCCATAGCATAGATCTTTACTATTTCCACGCAGTGCACAAAGAGATTCTTATTATCATCTTAACGTAAACATCTGAAGTTATTATTTCGTTACCGCTCAAAGCTAGTCTGCTTGTTAGATCTCCGCCGCAACCTTGCATCCTTAAAACTGACCCTCGTTAATTCACGGATATTCATAGGTTGCCGCCGATTACCTGGCAGCCTGGCAGCCTGGGTAGCCATCTCGTTCACCATTCCCAAGAGGCCTCTTCTTACTACCTAGTATTTATCAATCCACGCCTTCTTTGATTCGCTCTCTTTTGTATCCCCTCCGCCCGGCTGTTCCCGAAGCCTTGCAACCCTCGCGGCTTTAATGAATGGATGGATTCATACATAAACCCTCAAGTTGCCAGCAATTCTTATCAGCCGTCTGCTTACACACTTGACTCCTTTACCTACTCGCTTCTCTAGACCATCGGGGCCATCTATCTACCCCCTACTTGATAGGTAATGTCATTTCACCGAACTTTTAAGTGTTGACATTAATTCTAACCGATTCATAGGTGCGTGGTGTATTTTAATCAATCCTCTTTCCGCTCTCCTCTCTACTCTCTCCTAAAGGTGCCAGCATTACTATATGTGTAGAATGGAGACTTGTACTGCCGTGTACAGCGTGGCGACCGCATTTGGACTCGATGCTAGAGGAGAATGACCGTCCAAAGAGAGACCGACATTTGGCGCTTTTAAATTACACAACTGATTTTCCCACCCTTTAATTCCCATTTTATTATTTCCCGTTCTCTATACTAACACGGTGTGTTTCGGTAACAGGAAGTAAGCCAGTCATGAGCAACCACGAGGCTTGAAAGTGTTTGATTGTGTCCACAACCAGCGAGGACAGAAAAGTATTTCCCCGCCTTTCGACTCTCAAGTCGGCATTCAATGCTGTCGTATACAAACTTTTTCGCCATCATTGTTTGCCTGCGCGCAGTTTCTAAGCGCACCTCTACCTTCGGTGCCATATTTTACTCGTCCCACTGTTGGGAGTAAAGCGCCTTTTCAACCACAATTGTGTAACTAATATGGCCTCAAACATCGATCTGAAAATGGAATCCCAGGAAGTTAAGACTGGCCCTTCTGCTGACCGCCGCGAGGGAAATATTCCCAGTGGAAACGAAGCAAAGACCCATCTAGCCGAGGATGTGCAGGCGACTACACCCCCTGATTCGGGTAAGAAGACTAAGGGATCTAAAACCGACAAGAAGTCGAGTGGTAAACCTGGCAAGAAAGACAAAAAGGCCAAGTCTAGTAAGCCGAAGAAGGTGGCCCCTGATAGCAGTGGGAACTCTTCTAGTGACAGCGAGGACGGGTTTACAAACTCATCCTCAGATGACCATACCGAGACCGAGTCGGAGGTTGAAGCCGAGGCGGTCTTGAAGAAAAAACGAATTCAGAAAAAACGTCAGGATCCTCGAAAGTCTAAGAAGAAGTCGTCCAAATCGTCCAAGTCATCCAAGGCAGTTACGAAACAGGCTAAATCGCATACAAAAGCTTCTGAAGTTAATACTAGCGACTCCGAAGCCGAGTTTGAAGATGACTCAGACCCTGACGAGAAGGAGAACACCAGTAAAGCCTCCCTAGAACAAGAGGTTGCTCAGATGCGACTTCAGGTACAACAGATGCAGCGCCAGATTGCCTCATTCGCCATTGCAAGCGGCTCTCCCGGAATTAATGGTCCTAATTCTCTTAACCAGGGAGCTTTCGGGACAAACGGCCTTAATGCTAGTTTGGGAGGATCTGCAGGCTTCGGTTTGGGAGGTTTGAATTCAGCCAACTTCGGTAACGCCGGATTTAATGGAAACTACGGCGCTACGCTTAACATGCTTAATGATCCATTGTCGAATATCTCGAAAGCTGTTCGCGGCAATCGTGGAAACGGCCCGCCGCTATCTGGCCGTGGAAGACGACCTCCCCCTGACGACTTACTAGAAGAGTTCACGGGAGGCGGGGGCCAAAATAAGCCTACCAAGCCTAAAAATGCCCGCAATGGAAAGCCGGTTATACAGCGCCTTGAATTTAAACGTGTAGATCAGGTCTGGGATTCCCAGATCCATAACTACAAGCTTCAGGACACGGCTGAGAATGCCAGTAACTCTCAATACGATGAGTACCTATTCCATGTTCGGAGAACTTTTGACTGGGAAGGCAAATATAAGACGACGATAGTTGACATTAAGAGTAAGCAACTTCGGGAAGCCCTTCAGGACGTTATAGGTAGCGTGAAAGGTGTAAGTCTGGTCGAAGAGACCCCTAAGGTGGATCCCAAAATGTTGTTCTTGTGAGTCATCTCTATGTTCCTGTCCCTCTAATTCACCCCGCCTGAAACTAATTTGGAGATAGATATCTCGAAGACATGCGAGAATATATGAATAATCTTAAGGAACTCGAACCCGAGGGGGACTCTAGAAAGGAACGTAAGAAGGTCCAAAAGTGGATTGATGAGAAGCGACGGCACCTGCGAATACTCATCAAATATCTAGACGCGGATCATGCAGAAACCAAGAAAAGGTAAGTTCTTTCTCCAGACCTTTTGATAAAGATATGGAAGTGGTGGGACTCACACGTGAATTAGTTTATATCCGATGCTAGAGAACGGTCTCATCACATTTGATCTCCTATGGGCCCTGTGGAAGCCGAATACACTCGCGTACACTACGACATACGGCTCCGTCGACGAACCTCGCATCTTTAAGGTAGAGGTTGCAGAGAAACATTATAGTATTGTTAGGGGTGAATTTTACTATGTTGAGGGCAAGGTACGCTCCTAAGCATAACAGCCCATGTCCAAATTTAAGTCCAATTACTAACGCGACGAGTATAGTACTTCGAGTATGACGGCAAGCAATTTGGATACGGAAGTATGTCAGAGGAGATACAAGAGTTTCGTGGAGCCCGTAAAATTACGAGCTTGGGTTGCTATCCCCTTAAGTACCATAAGAACGAAGTTCAATTACGCAAGGACCTTATCGAGCGTGGCAAGAAATTCGTAGGACTCGGTGGCGTGCACTATAAGAGCCATCACGGTATGGCCTACCATAAGAAAAAGAAGGCCGTTATTAAGGTCAATATTAACGGCCGAATAATGGTCGATCCGGCAATCCACCGTCGAATCAACCCGAATTATCCCGTTTCTTTGGTCCGACCCAAAGACCATGATGTTCTAAGCGATGAAGAAGATAGTGACGAAGAGGAAGGTGGCTGTGGTTGTGAATCAGAAGACGACGACGGGGGTGCCGATGGTATCGGTCTCGAGCATATTCTAGGAGATAACGAGGAAGGAGGCAAGGTCAAGTATGTGACTAAAGTGTATAAGGACAATAAGGGCGCCGTACGCACTGCGCGCATCCCTAAGGATCTTGTTGACCCGGAAACTCCTAAGGAGAAGCTAGACCAAGTACCTAGCAAAGGCGAAGAGGAAAAGGATGCTACTACTAAAGATAACGAGGATGGTGCTGCAGAAGATGGCAATGATAGCGCCCCACCGGTATTTACTGACGAGGAATACCTGATTGCCTCACCAGTTGTTTTGGGGTTTGCCTTCGCCGAGAAGCTTTGGCTCGAGTTCACGGTCTCGGGTATTAAAGAGATTTCATGGAACGAGCATGCTTATGATTCTTTAGTTCTCCAACCTAACACGAAAGAGATTGTCAGGGTAAGCGCTCAACTACTTTTTCTAATGACCCTCCTAGCTTCTTCGTCCATATCCCCTTACCTGACTATTGAGTTTCTACTGACATGTAACCTCAAGGCCCTCGTCGAGTCCCACAAATACCATCCAGCTGAGAGCATCGACGATGTCATCCAGGGCAAAGGCAAGGGACTTGTTGCCGTTCTTCATGGACCACCCGGTACCGGCAAAACTCTAACAGCAGAGGGCATAAGCGAACTTCTCAAATGCCCGCTCTACATGGTATCAGCTGGTGACCTTGGAACGGATTCTCGCTACCTCGAGGCAGAGCTGCAGAAGATTCTCGACATCTGTCACGCCTGGGGCGCCATCTTACTACTTGATGAGGCAGATGTCTTCCTCGAGAAGCGGAATATGCAGGATATCCATCGGAATGCTCTCGTCAGCATTTTCTTGCGTCAGCTAGAGTACTTCCAAGGAATACTGTTTTTGACCACGAACCGTGTTCAGGTACGTTCTATCTCGCTATAGCGCAAATTTCCTTTTGTCGCCTAAGAAAAATAAAAATAAACTAACACGCAAATTTCTTAGACATTTGATGACGCGTTCCAATCGCGAATCCACATTGCGCTACGGTACGACGACTTGGATACGAAAGCGAAGAAAGCTATCTTCAAGATATTCGTTGAGCGTGCGCGAGCCGTGACAGGGACTGACTCGACACCATTTGAAGATGAAGACTATACCAGTCTGGCAAGGCACAATTTGAATGGACGTCAAATTAAGAACACGATCGGTACTGCGCAGGCGCTTGCGGTCAATAAGGGCGAGTCGCTCAGCATGCGCCATATCCGCGAGGTTCTTAATGTCCAGCAAAACTTTGAGCAAGATCTCAAGGGTGGCACCGGATATCAGGATGCCATGCGTAGCTACTTTTAATGGAAATTCTTCTTATATTCTTTAAGGATCGTTTGTACGTTTTCGGGATGCCGCACGAAAGATATGAAAAGATGCTTCTCAATCGATAGTATTTATAAAGTAGACCCAGGGAGAGAAGGTTGGAGTACGGATCAGGATGGGTTTTTCTGACTGTGGTTTCTTAATCCCATCTTTTCGTGTCCCTTCTTTCAATATCGCAAATGCTTTGTAGGGATTGGGGTGGTAACAAAAAAGCGGTGCTTTCATTAACTTAACTTTTTGCTGCGGTTGTGACTAGGCATCGTTCCATATCCATATTAAGCTACGTGGTAAAGGTAACCTTTGGAAAGTAGTGATAACTACTGGGTACCTAGGCCTAAACTGTATTATATTATCTTGCGTTTGATCCTGTTTTCTAGAATAATAGAAGGTTTAAATTTATGAAATATAGATCTTGGTATTCATCGTCTCTAGAGAATCGTCTTGGTCTTGTAGTCACATAATCAGTCTCGAGACATAAAAGCTCGAAAAACTCCTCCAAAAACGCCGATCCCAATGCAGCCGACAAGAGTGATATTTCCGGTCGATGCGTATCCATCGAATTTAGTACCCGTCCGCTAAAAGTCCATTGCGCTTTCTCCAACACCTTCATCTTCCCCAAAGTCGTCGGCGTCTCCGCCGTCGAAATATTGCTCTGCGTCGTAGTCTCCGCCCTCGTCATCGTCGTAATCATCGTCTTCCTGGGACATATGCTCCTCTTCCTCATCAATATCGATGTCCTCTTTATTGTCAACCTCCTCCGTCTCATTCTCCTTGAGGGAAGCATCGATGCGTTTCTTGCGCTCCTCCTCCGTCTCGTCCTCACGCTTCCTGCGCCGAGATGAACCTTCTCCGTCGTCGTCACTAGCGAACGTATCGTTATCCAGCACCACGGCCTTGCGCTTCGTTCCCTTCTTCTCCTTCTCCTTCACCCCGTTGGTCGCAAGGTACCCGCCCTTCGGGCCACCGGCGTCTCGACCGTGCAGGGTGGCCCACAGCTCCTCGGGGAAGAAGGCGTTGACGTACCTATCGGCGCACCGGCGCAGCTCGGGCAGCACGCGCACCTCATCGACAAACTTATGACTATACAGCGGCACAGCGCGAAAGGGGTCCGCGCTCGCCCGACTCTTCACGCCAAACCGCGCGTTCAGCTGCGCCTGCCCGTACGTCCGCCGCACTGGATCGCTCGGCTTAGAGGTTCCCGCGTCGCTCATGTTGTTGTTGCTCGTTAGGTGTCGGTGCGTGTACAGCGGCGTATTCTGGAAGGCGCGCCGGAAGGCGACAAAGGCGGCGACGGAGCGGTCTTCGGTTGGGGAGAGGGGGGGTGCGATTGGGGGTTTGTAGGTTTTCTGTTAGTGAAGAGGTACCTAGTTAGTATCTTATCCCTTATACATATAGTAGGTACATATATAAGTGAAGGTGCGTACGGGATATGTATCTTGCGGCTTCTCGTTGAACTGCAGACTTGGGTCGTCAGCGCCGGGCATTCCTTGTGGTCCTGCTTTGCGAGCTGCACCGAAACCACCGCGGCCGCCACGACCGCCCCTTCCTCCTCTACCGCGACCAGACATTTTGATGCATGAAGTTATTCTACTTCAGGTGTATTGCTTTGAAATATAGAGTTTATTGGAGGAGTTTCAAATACGACTAACAAAGTAGGTTGCTAGAAATAGAGATTGAAATGTCGAAAAAAAAAAAAAGAGAGAATCGAATTCGACTTGCTTAAAATTTTAGCGGAGACTTGGTGGGGTTGGGCTAGAGACGGCAGGGACCTGCCTTCCTTAAAATTACCCCGCATAAAGTTTTACAGAAGCTTTAGCCCCGCCAACCCACTAGACAAGACCCACTACAGCTTCCCGGGACCTTCTACTCTGTAAGTTGGGGTCCATTCTAACTTCCTACGTTCCAGCAAGCGGCAACTTTATCAAAACTACGCGGCCGTTTACCTGCCTAGACTCAATCTTGAAGCCTATAACTTACAACTTACAATTTACAACTTACAACTTACAACTTACAACTTACTTACAACTTACAACTCACTTTAATTCATTCTTCGCTGTTCAATCTTCGCTGTTCAATCTTCGTTATTCGCTCTATCCTCGCTCAGTCGTCTACCTTTTACCCACTGTTTAACCAGACTGCCTACAATGAATCGAATTGCAGTCAAGGTGGACACGGATGTCATTCCCGTCACCGGGATCGAAGAACTGGGAAAGCATTTAGACGAATTAATCGCAGATCCGAGTCTATTGCCAATCCCTAAGTTATTTGACGATGTCGAACTTCAACTTACGGGTACATATACTCATCTGGATAGGACTTTACTACCTAGATATATATCTAGAGTATGAGAAAATACTAATATAGTGAATAGACGCGAACATACTACCTCTGATCCCACGGCTTCTTCCAAAGATCACTGAAATCCTCAAACAGTATCAGCAGGATCCCGCAGTTTTATGTAGCTTAGCGATCAAGCTTCTTGGTCCTTTAAGCTTCACTCAAATACTGTCTCTAGCTCCAGAAGAAGCTCTGATACAAGCCTTGCGATCTCCTGCCCCGTCGGCAAATATCCTTGGTATGGTTGTTATCGAAAAAGCTGCCAAATCTCCAAGCGACGCTGCTATCTTGGGCATGATGAAAAACTTGGTTACCAACTTCTTAACTCAGTGGCTGAGTGCCCCGCAGGTGGAAGTAGGGGAGAAAGGTACCAAAGTTTTAGGTGACGTTCTGGATGTCGACTGCGATACCCGTCCACCCGACGACTTATCTGTGAACGGGATGGAGATTGTCGTTAGAAAACAACCTGGCCAGGGGCTTGTGTGGAGACGAATTTTCCAAGATCACGACATATACGATCTAATATTATCACTTTGCGTCAGTGGCCAACTTGGTTCCCAACAACAGTCGCTTGCTCAAGGTCGCCTACTTCGGGTCTTACCACGCCTGGCAGCCCTAAACTTCCGAGCGGTTACTTGGACGGACTTTTCCGATCTGAATCAGCGATACTCTAACATCAATGGCAATGGCGGATTGCTACATTTTGCTGCCTTGCACATGGTAGACAAGGGGGACATGTTGGTCCATCTTAACCTTGTCGACTTCTTCGAGGCTTTCCTGAGTATTCAGAGAATTACGCCATTCTCTACCTACAAGATGGACACTCTTACTAAGCTATTAAAGGATGCTACTGCACAAGATAATGTCTTGAAGGCATCGATTTTCACTTTGCCTGAGCGTACCATACCTGAAGAAGCCGAAGATCTGGGCCGGTTCATAAGAGAAGTCTTGAATTCTCAGTAAAAATACAGAAAGACACCTCCTATTCGTATTGTTTTCAACATTCGGAGGCCATAATACAATGAGTTCCGGGTATATTCTATGAGACCAGACTACCACGTGAGCTTCCATATTCTACCAATCACATTGCAAACTCCCAATCCTAATATAACGCCTTGTGCCCTCTGTCGGGGTCAATGAACATTGCCTATCATTTGTAATCCCCCTTGGGATATTCCTACTTCCAGTTAGCAACGGCAACCTAACCCACAAAGCTCGATAGTAATATCTTGTTCCTTAATGAAAGGCATGCGGCCGGTGTATCCCTTCACGTTAGCCATGATGGTCGCATCTATCCACCTTCCTATTGGGGGTGGCCTCCTGAAATATTCCATATCATCCAAACTTCTGATACAAAATTCTCGTTCCTCTTCATTCGCAGATTCATAAGAAAACGCCAGTGCAGCTGTGTACTCAATCGCGAGCGGCCTCTGCGTCCTCATCCAAGGATAGGCCATCCATATCCGCTTACTGAATTCTCGGCATTTCTTCATCACACTCGAGATATAGTGGTCTAAAACCAGATTTGCTTCCTGCATGGTTCGGTGTATTATGATGCTGTACATCGCGTGGGTGTAAAAGAATTTTGCGGTATCGATGTCGCAGAATTGGTAACATGTCGGGAACAGGTCAGCATCTAAGAGGTTCTCCACCTCAATTATATCGCCCAACTCTCTCAGTGAGGCTAAGGTAGCTTCGCTCTCCTGTTCCAGGTACTCTATGACGGGCGAAGCTCTAAATAAAAGCTCAGCTGCAGTCATCGTATCCGAGGGATCCTGGGCGAGAACGCGGACTAGTCTTACTAAAGTTGGCCAGACAGTCATCTCGATCCAGAGGCGATACATGGCCTTAACGACAGGACGGAGCATACTGCCATCCACGGCTTGTCTAAAAGCTGTTATCCACTCATAATTCATAAATACGCTGTCTCTTCCTTGGCGGACGTCTTCTTGAAGCTAATACAAATATCATTAGCGATTCCAAGACAACGACTTCTAAAGGATCATAGTTATACATGATGAACTTACCATGTTGAAAAAACTATCAAACGTGGCGTAGAGTCCCAAGTCTTGAAACCCTTGCCACGGACCTCCTCTGCTAATAACGGCGGTCAGTCCCGCTGCATGATTCTCTCGGTTCGCTCCCCGCTCAAAGTCGTATGTGAGCTAGTTATCGCGCAACAGCTGTCAGTCCGTCCGTCTCTTTATATCAAATATTTCGGTCTAGATATGGGGTCAAACTCACCTCGAGTTTCTGCAGCAGCCACTGTGCTGTAATCGTATCTATCACCAACCCCTGAGAAGGCTCTGCCAGTGCTTTCCGTAGGCTCCCTAAAGCTTGCATATGAAGCTGCAAATCTAGCCATGTCTCCGGCGACATTACATCCCGTTGGCTGTTCGACCATGAGGCGACGACTAATTCAACGGTGTGTCGTAATACCGGACTTTCCGAGCCCAGCCGTTGCGGTATCATCTTTATCGAAGGGCCCCATATCAGCAAATCGTGGCCTGTTCCCGATGCAGCCTCTATACAGGAAATGAATTGGGAGGCTAGTCGATCCGATGGGCTCATAACCGGGGATGGGGTTGGCGACGGTGTCGATGTCGATGTCGGCCTGCCGCGCTTAACACTCCTGGGACGATGCGGGCGTGTTAGACGCATTCGGTGGAAGGTCCCGGGACCTAGACTGGCCGTATACTCCTTCATATCAACGATGATCGTACCACCGGGGCTGCTCCGTCGCGACAGTGGGTCCGTAATCTGACTGCCATCGCAAGATGATATGCTAGCGTCATCCGAGTCACTAGACTTCGGGGTTGGCTCCTCGTTGTGGCACCCGTTCACCACAAACTTGTAATTATTCCTCGCTCCAGAACAGACTTTCCCGGCCCGAGCACATGCACCACATGTCGGCCAGTTTTCATCACACTATTTGGAACATCGTCAGCGTACCTTGGTCACGGATGGTGCGCGGGATAGAGCCGCTTACCTTGGTCTTCCGCAACTTGCAAAACGTGCAACGATTGCTCTTTGGTATTCCGACCATGATCAATGAGACGAATATCGATCGTCTTCAGTTATACTGATATATCAATTATGATCATCAGTTTCGATGGTCCGTGTATCTTATTCGGCCACGTCGAGGCTTGCTGCAGGTACGATGTATTTGAGGAGAGATGTCACATCAATACTCCTAACATGGTGAGGCCAGCGGTTTATTAATCACATCAAGGCGTCTGTATGGTCTCGAGGGAGAGTCACATTCAAAACCGCGTCGCGTAGCTATTCCGATCGTCTTTCCCTTGCTAGTGGAGCCAGCAGGTAATAGACTAGGACTTATGAGCCTGACGAGCCACAATGTATGGATACGAGGCCTGTCTTCCGGGAGGGATGCAACAAGGTACAGCCCATTAAGGTTGGGGCTCTGTAAAGGTGTCTCCAGATAGCGGTCAGGATCAGGGTCCGGACTCCTTCGCCCCCACGTTCATGGGAGCACAGATTAACTTTAGTCGATTCAGCTGAGTCGGGGGGTGGAATGAATGGAGAGGTCTGCCGACGATGTAAAGGATGTGAAAGGGGGTCATTTAATCAATCAATCCAAGACTGGATAGGCCCCCTCCTGATATGGTGGTGTTCGAGTGTCGACAATACTTCATCCTATCGCCTAGATGATTATGATTAGGGCTGAGTAATATAATGATTCGGATGAGCGACAGTCTACGTTGCGTACTCCAATCCGGTTCCCGCTTATCGAGAAGAGAGAGCTGAGCTCCAGTGAAAGAAGAGCTGCAGGGCTTGACTCTAAGTCAGGTGTGTGCCACTCGCTTCGGCTGGGATCTGCACCACAACCCAACCTTGGAAACCTCTCTCACGTAATCACTTAAAGAATTATACGCAGCAGATACGCAACTCAACACATCTACATAGTACACTACCTCGGGCGATATCATACTGTGCCGCTGTAAGGCTGATTATCGTCCCAGGTTGCCGGCTTCGTTCAGGGGTTCTAAAAAAGAGGCTTTGAGCTGTGAATAAGGACCCCTCGGACAAGACCGGATGTTTTTTTTGTGTGTTGAAACGTTCGGAATTACGACACGAAGGGAATATGTTTTAAGTTACGGAATCCCATTGAAGGCGCAATACACACCTTGAGTAGCTTAATTCGTCCATGCCCTTGCGAAGGCCTGGTCGAAACTTTCTAGAAAACTGACGAGTCCACGTCCCCGCTCGTCCATGAATTCCTATTTAGGGAACGACCTACAGAACTACCGACAATTTACAGGTGTCGATTGGCTTCGAATTGGCGAATCAGGAGTCGAGCGCAACATGAACCCCAAAGAGGAAATCTACACTACTCACATGTATCGGTGAACCTGGTTCGACCCCTAGAACTTATAGAACTTATCCCTACGCTCATTTTTCGTGAAGAGCCTATCAAATTCCTTGGAGAGGGTGAACTTAAGCTCTGCTTTGACAGGTTGCATAACACGTATGACAAGATGCCGTGGAAGGCAGGGAAGCCGGATGGCATCTATGGGTGTGACATCACAAGCCGCTCAGTTGTGCAGAATAGAGTATGTGGGCTGTTTAGCGATGAACATGCCGCAATAACGTAATAAATAGTGCTCACACGATTCCATCCCGATGTTGGCTCTCTTCCCGCTTTAGGGAACTAAGCGCGGCTGCGGAGATAGCTACGCCACTCGCCTTGTCTTCTCAGCTATGTTTAGGGCTGAGGGGAGATAGGGAAGGGAAGGGGGCAGGGGGAGTTCAAACAACGATAGACACCCTATACATTAGGCTATTGGTTCTGTGTGTCTGTCACTCTATTTCCCTACCTACTTAGGTACTTACATAGTAGTTGTCCACTGTTAAGGAGGTTTAATGATTATATGTCTCGATTATAGCATCATCTAGGTACCGTAACACAGCATATCTCACCTAAATAAAATGGCATAATAGCGGCATATCATTTAGAATTAAAGCAGTCAGATTGATAACTACGTCCCCGCCGTTTCAGCACATATCGGTACCTAAATGTTCTAAATGCACAGCATGACTCGCGTAAATGGGACCCATCAAGAGATAGGCAAGTATGATGGGATTAAATGGGTCGATTCTAAACGACATACGGTAATTTATACATCCGTCTCTTGTTTATCATTTCGTCCCGTGTACGTGTATGCTGTATCACATATCAGACGCACAGGTCATTTCCATTTCTTCATAATACGTAGGTACCTAGAATACAGGGGCGGGGGGGTGTAATACGGCATCCTGATCCAATCACGGTCTCTCTTGTGTAAGTATGCCTAACCATCCCCTGGGTAGCGTGGGGAATGATGACCTCCGATTGCTCGGTGTCCCCAGGTCTAGATACGTGCCGGGGCTCCTAAATGACCGATCTTCCTGCCCCATCATCTCCGAATACTTGGATAGGCGCGTTCCTTCGGGTGCCGTTATCTGTACTACTAAGCTCTAGTACGACTACGGTAAACTTCCAGAATAGAAGAAAGTGCCTCAGCCCTAGACAATGGAATATGATTCGTCTAAGCAAGATTGGATACGTTATGCTGTGTTACAAGCCCTGCCGTATATGAGTGAATAGCGGTTGAGGTTGCGAAGTATGCGGAACTTACATAATATCAGACCTCCTCTGGCAGCACTTTATCTTTCTTTCGGCTTCGCTCATCCCCTATATTTCTCTGCGCGTATATCGATTATCACGATGTCAGGTAGCCAAGTACGTATATCGCAATCTCTTGCAAGCCCATGCTGTCATTCCACCTAGTATTCACCCACCCTTGCCCCCTTTACGTTACCCCCCTTACCCTTACCTCAACTACCAGCACCTCGATCGGAATCGTGTAATTGTAAGCAGATCCGTAAGAGCGAGTGTCCGAAGACGAGTCTATAGAAAGGCAGATTCAACAATAATTGTCCACTGACATTAGAATATGGCTGAATGAATAATGTAAGCATAATGTAAGCATAAAATACCGAGTGGCACATCACATAACCCGAAAGAGCGTTCGGCCGATTTTGACAGCGATACATCCGTCCACAAGGCGTATTGATTATCTCGTACCTAGCAAATATCGAATAGGCGGACCGCCGACTCCGACTCATCTTAACCGCGCGGAAGAGTAACCCTGGATATGCATATTACCTACTAGGTACCCAGTAGTAGATAGTGGCATGACACTCTCGTGTAACCATCGTCACCCACACCTACTTCCTAAAAGGATATGTCTGCTTTACGAACCAATCGTTCCTTTATGACGTGCTTGATGCGATACAATACAACAGAATTCTATGAAAAGAAACAATATACCTAGGGGGAAGTCAAAGCCCCAAACACTCAAATTCCTTACCTGGTAGACATGGGACTTTAGCGAGATAGGGTAGATTAGGTACCTAGGCAAGTGTCTAGGTAGGTAAGTTTAAGGGATGGAAAGGACTAAAGTGTTTATATATAAACATCGTACGGTTAAAATAAGGCGCGATTAGCAATGTTTACATTTGGATAATACACACATTATACTTTACCGTTAAATCCACTGTAAAAATAAAGGACTTAACGTTATTTAACTTACTCGTTTTAACTAAAATGGTTTAACATTAATTTAATAACGATTATAAATTTAAATTTAAAATAAATAAAAGTTATATTTAATTTATTATTCGAAACATTTTAATTTAATTTAAATTAATTATATATATACTTATTAATTATATTATAAATATAAAGAAATTTTTCATTACGAATATACGTTTTAATTTTTTTAAAATTATAAAATTAAACGTTAAATTTTTTATTTTTATAAAAAGCTTTTAAATAAAATATAATACGAATATAATAAATTAATTAATTAATTAATTTATTTAATGTTTAAATAAACGAGCGTGGGCTTTTTTTTATAATTTTTTTAAAAGTATAAAACGTAGTAAATTTTATTATTTATTTATAAAATATTAATAATTTTAATAATATTATAATGTTAAATTTTATTTCGAAAATTTAATATTTTTTAATTAACGATTATTACTTATCGATTAATTTAATTTTAAACTTTTTTAAAAAAAAACTTTATAAGTTTTAAATTAAAAAATTAATTTAATAATTAATTATAAAGTTTTATTATTTATAATTTTTTTTATAAAATTTCGTTATTTTATTTTAAAATTAATTCGTATTTTTTTATAAAAGTTAATATTATTTTTATGTTTTTATTATTTTTTTTTTTTTATTTTTTAAAACGTTTATATAAAAGAAATTTATAAATAATTATTAAATTAACTTTATAAAAGTTATAAGTTTTATTTTTTTTTTATTTTTATTTTTTATTTTTAACTTTTTTTATTTTTTTATATTTTTTTACGTGTAATATTATTTTTTTTTTCTTTAAAAACCGGGTATATTTTATCGTAAAAATTAATAATTTTATAAAATTTCTTAAATTTTAAAAAATATTTTATTAATTACGTTTAATATTTTAATTTATTCGATAAGTTTTATAAATTTAATTTATAAAGTTTTATTAATTAATTATTTTCGTTTTATTTTTTCTCGTTAAGTTTTTTTTTTAATTTTAAAAATTTCGGTTAATTTTTTTAAAAAACTTTTATTTTTTTATAATAAATTATATATTATAGCTTTTTTTTTATTTTACTTTTTAAATATAACGTATAAATATAATATATTTTAACGTTATTATAATTAAACTTAACGTAATATTATAAATAATTTTTATATATCGAAATAATATTAAAATATTAATTTAATATTTTCTTTAATAATTATAAAGTTTTAAATTTTCTTCCGGGTTTATAATTAATTTTTACCGTTAAAAATTCGCTTAATATATTTACTTTTTTTTATTATTTAATTATTAAAGTTTATATATTAACTTTTTTTAATATTTAATTTTTATTATAATTAATTTTAAAGTTAAATTTATTAAGCTTTTTTTCGTTTTTTTTTAATTAAATAATTCGTTATTTCGTTATTTTTAATTTTATAATATTTAAAATATTATTTTAAGTTTATATTTAATGTATTTATTAATTTATAAATCGTTATAAATATATTTTATAAAATCGTTAAAACGTTTTTTTAAATGTTTTAAATAGCGATTATATTATTTACGTATAACGTTATTATTATTTTTAAAAATAAAATAATAATTTTTTTTAATTTTTTTAAAATATTTAATGTTTTAACGTTAAATATTACTTTATTTAAGTTTATTCCTTTTTTTTTTTAACGACTTTAATTTATTTTTTATATATTATAAAATTATATTTTAAAAATTTATTAAATTATAATTCGTTTAAAAATATTATAATATTTTAAAAAGTTTAATTTTTAAATTATTTTTTAAATTTTTTAATTATCGTTTTTTTATTTTTCTTTTTTATAAAGTTTTTTTTTAATTTTTTTTTAAAATAAGGTATGTAAAATATTTATTTTTTAATTTTAAATAATAGTTTTATTATAAGTTATAAATTTATATATATAATTTATAATTATTTTATTTTTTTATTTTTAAATATTTTTTTAAAAATTATTTTAATTATTAACGAGTATTTTTCGTATATTATTTTAAGCTTATAAACGTAACGGCGTTTCGTTATTTCGAATATTATTTTCGTTATAATTATTTTAATTACGGTAAATAACGCGTTTTTCGAGAAAATTTTTTATATTAATAATATATTTTTAATGATTTTATAAATTATTTTTTATATTATAATTATATATTTTTTTAAGTAAATGTTTATTAAAATTATACGGTTTTTCGTTATTTTTTTCGATAATTTTTTACATTTTTTATATTATATTTCGTAATTAAAAAATAATATTAAAAATAAAATTATATATATTATTTTATATAATTTTATCGTTAAAAATCTTTTAAAAGCCGTAAATAATTTTTTTATATAATTTATTATTTTTATAACTTTAATTATTTTAATTTTTACGTATTATTTAAACTTTAATTTTTTATTTAAGTGGATTTTTAATTAACGAAAAATTAAAAAAGTGTTAATAATTTTCGAATTTAATAAAAGAATTAATTTTATTTTTAACTTTTTTCGTAATTTAATTACGAGATTTTTTTTACTTTTTTTCCGGGTAAAATATATTATTTTTATTTTTTTAAAAGTAAACGTTATTTTATTTTTTTTATTATATTTTAATATTTTATTTATTTTTTTTCGAACGGTTTTAATATTTTTTTTTAACGTTTTATTAAAAATTAATATCGTTATATTATTTACGTAATTTTATTTATATTTATTATTTTTTAATAATTTATTAAAATATAATATATATAATATTAATAATAATAAAAAGTTTTATAAAATGCCGTATTTTACGTTTTTAATTATTATAATAATTTTTTTTAAATAAATAATTATTTTTTTATTTAAAAAAAAGTTTTTTATAAATTTAAATGTAAATTTTAATTATTTTTAAGTTATTATTTAATTTAATAACCGGTTTTTTAAAATTATATCGAAAGTTTTTTATACGTTTAAAATAATTAATATTATTTTTTTATCGTTTATTATCGTTAATTTAATATTATAAATAAAATTAATTATTAAATTTATTATTAATTTTTTAAGTATAATTTTCGTATATTATAAATTAATTAATTTATTTTATAATGTAATTTAAATTATTTTTTAATTATAATTTTTTTTAAACTTTTATTTAAATATAATAATAATATTATTAAACGTTATATTTTATAAATCGAAAAATTTATTTTCTTTATTTTAAACATTATTATTATTTCGGTTTTTTTTTATAAATTTAAAAAAACTTTTATTTTAAAGTATTTTTTTAATAATTTTATATAATATTTTATAAAAATTAATTATATTATTTTAAAATATTTCATTATAATTACGTTAATTTTTAAAAAAATAAAAAATACTTTTATTATATATTTTTTTATTTTTTTTTTTATAATTTTCGTATTTTAAAAAAATAATTTTTTTTATTTATTATAATTTTTTTTACTTAAATTATTTTTAAAATTAAATTTAAATAAAATAACTTTCGTTAAATATTCGGCTTTTTTAATAACGTTTTTAATTATTTATTTTTTTATTATTAAAAAAAAAACCTTTATTTTTTATTTTAATTTATATTAATTAATAATTTTTATAAAAAATTTATTATTTATATAATTATTTTTAAATTTTTTTTAATATTTATTTTATATTTTATAATATATTATAAAAAAGTTTTTTTTAATAAAGCTTATAAAGTTTAATTTATTCGTTATTTTTCATTTTTTTTAAATTATTTAATATTTTTCGTTTTATTATAATATAAATTTATTTTTAATATGGTATATTTTATTTATTATTTTAATATATTTATTAATTATTTTTAAAAAGTTAATTATTATATAATTAATTTTTATTATAATATTTATTATTTTAATATTAAAAAAGTTATAAGCTTTTATTTTTATAAAATTAATTAAACGTTTTAATTCGTTTTTTAATATTTTTTAAATTTTAACTTTTTCGAGGAAAAGTTTTATTTTTTTACTTTAAAAAGTAATTTTTATAAATAAATGGTTAAAATCGTATTTAATTTCTTTTACGATTTAATTTTTTACGAAAAAAATATTAAAAAAAAAAGATTTAATATATAATTATTTTTATACGTAATTATTTTTAATTTTTTTATAAAAGTTATATTTAATTTAATAAATTATTTCATTAATTTTTAAAATTCGTTTTTTATATTAATTCCCGATTTTTAATTTAAATAATAAAAATTAACGTTTTTTATTATTAAATAGTTTTTTAAAAATTTAAAAAAAGTTAAATAATTAAATATTAATTTAGTTTCGAAATATTTATAATAATTTAAATAAAAGTAATCGTTTACGTTTAATTATATAAAATTTTTATAATAAATTTTTTAACGATATTTTATTAATAATCGGGAATTTTTTTTAATATACGTTATAATTTTAAGTTTATTTTTTTTAATAATGTTTTAAACGTTTATTAAAAAATATTTATTATATTTAAAATATTTTATAATAATATTATTTTTAATTATTAATATTTATAGTTTAATAAATAAAATTATGTTAATATTTTTATATTAATATTATTATAAGAATATTTTTTATATATTTTTATTTTTATTTACGTTATAAGTTATAATATTAATTATTTTAAGTTTTAAAAGTTTATAATAATATTATTTTTTAATTATTTAAATTTATTTTTATTAATTTTTAAAGTTTACGTTTCGACGTTTAAAGCGTTTTTTTATTAATTATTTTATTATTAAGCGTATTTTATTTCGTTTAATAATTTTTATAAAACGGGTTTTTTAATTTTATTTATTATTTTAATTAAAGTTTTTATATTTAATATTAATACGAAAGTAATTATTATGGTTTTTATTACGAAATTAACCGATTTTTTAATTAATAATTTTATTTAAAGTTTTATTAACGTTTTTTTTATTTTTTTATCTTTTTTTATAAAAGTTTTTATAAAATTAATAATATTAATTATTTTTTCGTTTTATATTTTTTTTACGGGAAATAACGAGGTTTTTCGTTTATTAATAATATTTATTTATTTATATTTTTTTAAAAAGTTTTTATTAAAAAATAACGTTTATTTAATTATTTTTATAAAGAAATTTTTCGCCACGTATTTTTAATTGTTAATTTTTTTAATGGTTTTTAATTTTACTTAATTTAAAGGAATAATTTAACCGTTTATTCGCCGAAGTTTATATAAATAATTATTATATTTTACCGGGTAAAAATTATAATAATTAACGCATTAAAATAATTATTCGTAAATATTTTATATTATTAATTTATATTTATTTAAACGTTTATTATAATTTTTATAAAAAAGTTTTTTATTATAATATTTTATTATATAATATTTTTAACATTTTAAATTATAACGGATAATATAAATTTATTTTTTAATTTTTTTAAAAAAATTATTAACGAAAAAAAGTTTAAAACGTTTAACTTTTTTTTTAAAAATTATAATTTAAATAATTTCGTTAATAATAAAGTTTACTTCGTTTTTCGAAATATATACATTAATTAAAATAAAGTTTATTTAAACTTTTATTTTTTTCGTAATTATTTTTTTAATAATATTTATAAAATTTTTAATAATAAAGTTTATAATATTAATAAATATTTTAAATATTATATATATTAATTATTTTTCGAATATTTTTATTATTATAACGTATAAAATGTTTTTTATTATAACTTTTTTTTTTTTTTTAAAAATAAATTTTTAATATTTAAGTTTATTATTTATATAATTTATTTTATATTTATAAGTTAAATATTTTTAATAATTTTTATTAAAAGTTTTAAAGTTTTTATTAAGGTTATTTTAATAACGTATAAAAGTAATTAAATTTTTAATTATTTTTTAAAAAATCGAATTAATATATAAATATTTAATTTTTAAATTAAAAAGGTTTTCGCGTTTTTTAAAATTATTAAAATTTTATTAAAAATTATTAAAAGCATTATTATTAAAATTTTTATAATTAATTTATAAAATATTTTAATATTTTATTTAATTATATTTACGTATAATATTAAATTAATTAAATAAAGTTTAAGTTTTATTATTTTTATTTTAATTTAAATATTTATAAATTTTAATAATATTATAAAGTTTTTTTTAAAATTTACGTAAATTAAAACGTTTAAATATTATTTTAAAATTTTTATATATTTATAAGCGATTTTTTAATAACCGGTTTAATTATTTTTTTTAAAAAAATATATAAAATTATTAAAAATAATTATAAACTTTATAATAACTTTTTTTTATATTTTAATTTTTTTTTTAATTTTAACGTATTATTTATTAATAATATTTTATAATAAAAATTTAATATTATTTATAACGGGTTTTTTTTTAATTATTATAATTAATTTTAAAAAAAATATAACGTTAAATAACTTAACTTTTTTACGTTAATATAAATTAATTATAAAAAATATATTAAATATTAATAATATTATATATTAAAAATTAATTACCACGATAAAACGTAACGATATAAAAAGTTCTAATATAAGTAAATAAAAATCATCGCTTACCCGCCTTTTTAATATTTTATTATTTTAGCGTTATTTTTAACGCGCGTTAATACTTATAATAATACATTCGTAAAACTACTAACAGTAACTTACGCACGGATGATAAATACAAGGAAAGGTCGCAAGCACAGTAGAAGCGCCACTAATCATCCATTTCTCATAGTACTACCCATTCTACTACCTGGTATCAACCTAAAAGTAAGGAGAGTAAACCAACCAATCGATAAATTTGGAACATACGAAAACCCGAATGCAAGTAAGTTCTGTCGAGACCGGAACCAGCTTACTAAATAAGGAAGAAAGCTTGTTTAATGTCACAGATAAATGGCCATGGTACAAGAATGTAAAGGACCACGACAGCCTCATCGGGATAGTCCCAGCTCGGCAAGTCGAGTCTCGCCCGTTCCATTCGATCTTACATTCACACCCACAAAGATCACATTCCTACACATTCCTTCTTCTTTTCTTTTTTTTGGTTCTATTTTTTTGCAAGTGAAATGATTCAATTGTACAAATACGCCTACAGCTAAACCGTGTGCATAAGAACATACACGATACAACAATAATGAAGTGTATCGTACAACAGCTTATGGCAATGAACCCCTAAACACCAAATTTGACCTTAGTCTCTATTGATCGCGTCCATTTTTGTTCCAATGCCCCTTTGAAAATAAATCACTACCTGTTGTAGCTTTGCTCGTGCCCTGGTCCTGTTCCGAGTCGGCTTGAGGCCATGGAAAATGAGTTCGCCATCTCATGCTCTCAGACCGCCCATACCAACCTCGCCTACCTCCAGCTCTACCGTCGGTGTCTCCGCGCTGATGTTTACACTGGTGATACTCTCGCGTCGCCCACCAGTCATGCCCTCGATCCCAAGTCCAACTTCACCAACCTTCCTTAGGACGGCGAGCAAGGCCCCCCTCAGGTCGGCGCTAAGCTCTTTACCGAGCAGCTCGACGACTAGCGGGTAGAACGCGCGGATGTGTTCCCCAAATTCCTTTTCCGGCCACGTGGAGTACCCTTCCAACACGTCGACGACGACCGGTCGCCATGCCACGATGTTCCGCTGTTGCGACTCCTCTTCGAGCGCGAGGTAGCCTTTGATCACATCCTTGCAGAGGGGGACGAGAGCTTTCTCCACTTCGGGCCGGCTCTCTGCGCGCGAGGGAGACGTATCCGCAAACATACGGAACAAGATCTGGATGTAGGTCGCCGCCGAACCGCTCTCCTGCTTGAGAAGGTTGGGTGGCTGTTTCATGAAACCCTCTCGCCAGAGGCGCATACGGAGGTCCTTATCCTCGTTGAAACGTCTAGCAAAAAGGAATGACTTCTTGAGCAGCGCCATTAGACGTAGTAGCTCTCTAGACGGGATTTGTGTGTAGACCGTGTCGTTGGAGAAGAGCTCGTTGACGGTTTCTATCATTAGAAGTTGTAGGACGCAACGCGAGATGATGCGATTGAAGAAACGCCTCCGAGCTGCCGTTACTACTACGGGTTGCTGCTGAAGAGATGAAGCAGGTTTGTAATCCTCGAGGCGGGCGGAGGCGACACCGTTTGCCGGGCGTAGGGGATCTTCCATGATGGAGGTTTGAGCATTGGCACCCGAAGCAGCGTCGGTTCCGGAGGAAATGCTGCCCTTGTCAGTGCCATTAATCTTCAACGATTTTTCATCTGCGTGCGTGTCGCTTGTGGGGGTAAGAGGCACTTCGAATCCTAAACCATTGGGTGGCGGCGATAGAGCGGCTGGAGCGTTGATAGTAGCAGCCGAGAAAAGCTGGTAAGCTGTCGTCCTTTCAAACAACTCACAGAATGCCCCAACAACTTGGGACCAGTGGCCATCGGTAAACTTGGTCACATTCTGTAGGATTAGCTGCTGTAGACAGTTGCTACCTATCCTTGCGATTGTGTCATTCTCCTGACATATACAGAGCGCGAGCAGCTCGAGGAAACGATCTAACATGTACTCGAGTGCATCGAAGTAATGGGTAAAAAGTATGATCATGTTACGAAGCGCTTGTATCATGGTGGTTGATAGCCAAACAGATAGTTCCTCGTGGTTTAGGGCGTTTGACATCTCTGGCCTAGATCGTAGAACCATGAAAATGGGATAAAGCTGTTGTCTCCACAATATGTCCCAAAAATCTGAGGGGAAATCACCGCCATAGCGAAGTAAGGCCTCGAAGAAATAATTCAATGCGTTGGACCGAACCTCTAAATCTTCTCCAGTCATTAATACGTCGTGGAATGCAAACAGAATCGGAAACCAGAAACCCTCTTCGATCGAAGTGCCAGTTTGTTGTCTGGACAGAGTATCTGGCGATTTCAAGGCAGTGCCATCCGGAGCAGGCGTAGAATTGGACTTCTGAGATAATGGGCACTCCGGAGTTTTGAGCATCTTCGGTATTATGGATTTCAGCGTCTCCATTGCTTGAAGACTCTTCTTTTGAAACTTGATATTCTTCGAGAATTCGGTAAGGCAGACGATCAAGTCTGTAAAAGCTCCTTGGGAAATTACAACACCAAACCGTGTTTTATAGACAAGGGTGACATTCTCATACGCCAAGTTTACGATCGTCTCGTTGGGATCCCGCGCGGCAACAGTGAAGACGCCGAACATCGTCCTCCAACCAGACCGAATATTCTCGCCGCGGGCTTGGATCATTTGGATCAGGCATCGCAAAGCCATATCTTTGACGGTCAAGTTACTTGAGTTGGCGATGACATGCTCAAAAGGCTTCAGGAAATCCTTCTGAAATTTGAAACCGGGAAGTTCCTCGAGTTCCATGAAGCGCATCGACAACTGTCTTAGCGAATCGAGCGCGAAATACACGATTGCCGTATTGTTGTGGCATCCCACCTTGTTGAAATGCTCGCCGAGCACAGCCCAGATACTACTCCACTCGAAACGGACACGGGTCATATTGTAATAACTGATCTCAACGATCTTCTGCAAGCTGTACGTTCGTGGGGAGTCGTTGGAACCAGACACTTTAATCTCGTCCCAGCTCACCTCCGTCAAGGCCTTAGCAAAATGCACGATAGCCTCGCCATTGAGGTTGGCTGTATTGCTAAATATCCTATCCACGCTCTTGATGACTTCGTCGGATCTACTCTCAAGGGCAATTTCCATGGAGAAACCTCTTGAACCTGGATTCGACCGATTCCTTCGTCGCGTTGACGCGGTTGACTTGCGTGACTCGCTAGTATTTGTCCTCTCCGGCGGGATGAAGCGAGCTTTGGAAACGTCAGGAATAGCCCCTTCATCAACGCCGCCAGTAATCAATTGCAATCGGTCCAATTGACTTATACACATGAGGATATCCTTCCAAGACTCTTTCAAGTAATTGCCTTCTGTTTGACCTAGCTCCAAGATAACTCGTAGGGCCTCGACGTTCTTGGAGAGGATCTGTTGAGGGTTGTTTAGATTGGTGGTGTTTTTCAGGGCGGACATGAATGCTTCTCGCGGCGTGGATAGGTCGAAGAGGCATGCGATTTTTATAGCTTGCTTCATTCCTTCTAGACAAAGTTTGTTTACTTCAAGGTTTTGAGCCTTTTGCATCTGACTTGAAAATGCAGAGAAGAACGACATCCACGTCACATCAAACATGGGACCGACATGTTTGAACGACGTCGCCGGGATGAATTTGATACCGGCTTTCGCGGCGTTTTTCCTTTGATTCTTAAACAAGTTCTTGAAAAGCTGCTCTGAGCGAAGAGATATTTCTTCCGATTGTTGCGCGTAAGCCTCTCGTTGGAGATCTCTTCCGACATTTGATAGAGCCTGGCCAAGACCGGCAGCAAAACCCGATGATTGTGCAGGCATATTGCCCGCAGCAGCCGCAGCCTCCCTCTCACTCTTGAGAACAATCTCGTTGCCGGCAATTTCATCGTAGATACCGATGAGGTACTCATCCGGCAAATCAGCGTTGTCGTTGATACCCCTATTATTCTTGATGAAGTCTTCCTTGGTCATACGCCTAGCGATCTTACTGCTATGAAGGTCCGTGTTCAGTAAAATCACCGAGTATGCGAGAACATAAGCCGTGTCGGCATTGGCAAATGCATTCGGATTGCCCATTACATAGCGGTTGGCAAATTTCAGCATGAATCGATCGATTTTTTGAGCTTCTCCGGGGAGACGGAAAGACTGGAGAAATTGTCGCAAGGCATCGACGAAACGCCTCTTGGTGAATTCCATAGTATCGACGAAGGCATGCATGATTTCGATGTTCCTTGCTTCGCCTTCGCCTAGATATTCGCCAATCTGAGCCTTGTCGAGTCGATCATCCGAGATTAAAAACTTGGCTATATCCTCAGGACTATCACTTGGAATGAACCCTTCCTGGAGTAAAAGTCTGATTCCCTTTTTCGGCTTAAAATTGAACTGGCGGATGGCATTGGCTAAAGCTGTCTTTCGAGCCTTCTCCTTTTCTAATTGGTCGGGATCGTCATCAACGATGGGCGTGGATGGGAGAGGAGTCTCGAGACGTGAAGTACTATCGGCAGCTGAAGGATCGATAGACTCGCGAATGTCATCTACAGAGGCGCGTGTATCATTATCATGCGAAGCGCCATTGACATCCGGGCGTCCAACAACAGACCAATTGACAAGCGATCGCAATGCCTCGATGAGCGAATCCAACGCCGTCCTCTTGATCACGTACTCTCGGGGTATCTCGGGTTCCGGTTCACTAGGGGGGGTAATATCCCTCACGTTCAGTGGCGGCGGCAACATGCCTTTTAGTTGCCAATCCGAGCTATTATGTGGCGTTGAGTTTGAGTTTTTTTCCTCGTATAGCTGCTCCTGGGCTGCGGTGACCGGCACAGGGTTGATCGCGAGCCTTGACAAATCTTCTATGATAGTCTGAAAAATGTTATCGACGTGAGAATCACAGTCATAGTTGAGATATGTCTCCACGAGTCCTCGAGGATCACCACAAAACCTAGTCAGAATATTGATGAAGTAAAGTTTCTGGGAAGGCGGCGCCGTCCGCCTAGCCAGAAGTGCCAAGTAAATTTCGTTGAGGAAGACCTCGATCTCTTTCTATAACCATGGTGTTAGCAAGATAAAAGCTCTCCAGAAGATACTTTTTGCCTTACCTTGAATAGTGCTCGCATAAATTTAGACATCAACCAAAATATCTCACAACACACTTCGAACACTTTATCAACAGAGCTAGCTCCGTTTCTAGTAATGCTGAGGCAGAGATAGAACTTGATAGCTTGGAGGAAACTCGTTGACTCGTTACTTTTCGTGTTAGTAATAGTACATAGAGGCGAAGTAAAAACGAGCATGTGGTTGTTCAAAAGAGTACGGATAAGATGTAATGAGATGAGCTTAGAGCGCATATGTTGACCTCGGTAGTCGTATAATTGATCGGGTGGAAGGACTTTAGTTGAGAGATTACAGAATGACCGGAAGACGAGGTAAGCATCCCGAATGTAAACTTCGTCTTCGGCATCGAGAGACTCGGCAGTTTCTTCTGCGTCAGGGGTATCGCTTTGTGTCTGCTCGGAAACCCTCCTTGTCGTCTTCTTAGGTGGCTTGAGCTGAGTGACCATGGTCGGACCATCGCCCAGATTCGAATCGTCGAAACTCTTTCGGTTCTCAAGATCCTTCAAGGTCAACTTCCCCCCTACTTCAGCCGTCGACTCGGAACGCGCGATCTCGGGAAGATTAGAGGAAGATGAATCGTCGGTGCTCTCTTCGTCTTCGGCAGCACCATTATTTCCGTTAACAACCGATTCTGTCTGGTCGAACGTAACATTACTAGAGCTATGCTTGAGCTTTCCTAAATTCACCCGCGCTTCCTTCATGTGAAGCCTCGTCTTAACACGCTCAAACACCATGCCCACCATCTGCGTCAAGGTCCCCTGAGCGGCCTGCTGGTTCTCGGCGCTTCTGGAGAGGAGGAATACATTATAAACTTGGCGCACTGCCTTCAACAGCCCAGCTCCATGGACAACGATCTTATCATTTAACACCGCAGCCAAAAGCGCCTGAACGATATGACGCTGCACATCAATAGCAGTCGTCTCTCCTTGGAAACAATCGCATATTGTGTCGATGGCACGATCTATCATAGAAGCTTGTTCTGCGTCATCTTCTTGGATAGTGCTTGTAATGATAGAGAAGTAGGATGAGGATATAAGCTTTTGTATGCAGTCGAGAGCAGTATTAATCAACTGACTGCTTCCGGTCTTAGTTGCTAGTTGCAGAGGCGCAAAGACAACTTGGGGATCGGGCAGTTCAGATCCCCCTTCTTTGATGGCCGTGATGGCCTTCTCGGTAAGTTCGGCGAGCTGTTTATTCCTCTGCGCTTCTTTAGAGGCCGCGATGGCCTCAAGAGAGGACACCAGAAAGACTAAGGAGCTCATTGTTCGCCGAGCTTAAGGAGAAGAGGTAGGTGCCATTCGGGGAGGATCCGTTTTTCGTAGACGGGAATTCGGTTGAAGTTCAAGTTGGACGAGTTCGCGACACGGGTCGTAGTGTAGGCGTAGCTAGGGATTAATTCGGTATATTCTGGAATGCGTAGTTTGTCCTGTCTGTCCTTTTTAGGGAATCGTATTCGTGAATGCGATATACAAATCTCGTCGCCTTGGCTGACTAGAATAGAGAGTTCAAACAGAGTTTCTTTATTGTCAGGGGAGATGAGAGCGCGTGTAAATTAAAATGTCTAAGGTCGCAACTTTTTTTTCTGGAAGTTTGGACTGGCCAAGCTGTCAATGTTCAATATTCCCTGAAAAAGGATTCGCTCCACACTGTCCACTGTAGATTTAATTGATGGCAAGGCCTATTTCCATTGTTACAGGTCCGACAGGGGGTCCTTGGAAAGTCTACCTAGTACAATACCTGGGTACCTAACCGGGCCATCATAACGGATAAATCATCGCCGGTCCCACTTGTCCGTTGTCAAGAGCCACACTGTTACCACTCCGGGGCTGTTACCAGTTGTCTGCCTGATCCATACCAGCCACAACTGCCGTAGCTGCCAGACTTACCAACAGCCACAGCTTGATTACGCTAATCTTACATTTTATTTTATTTCCAGCTTCAAACGCCTTGGAAGCTGACGAGAGCTCTTACTCAACCTTTTTTTAATCCTTTAGTGTACATCATACCTGTAAATCTAGTTATGACTTGATCCTTCTGGTGCATATCAAATTTCTATTGAAACCAATTCGAAACGACAAAAATACATAGAAGAAGTTTATAAACGAAAATGACTGATGTAGCTTATAGAGGTATTCCGATGTACGACATGTTCTTCTCACAATATCTTGACCCAGACGCTTGGTAACAATGCTCTTTTAGGAAGCGAGGAATGATCATGATGTACTGGTGAATGAGACACATCGAGCTCAGCTGCTAGCTAAATCGGATATTGAGCCAATCAAAGATCAATCGCACAACGGAAATCATTGGGGAGACCCATATTCCTACGGATTCCGATAAAGGCTGTACATATTAAGTGAAGATCTTTGAAGTTATACGGCCTACTATGTACATAGTATAGGGAAGTTACATTTACATGCGTACCTGCTGCATCAAATATCAAATATGATTACCCAGTAGTTACCTATGTACGTCATTATTGTCTTCGAATTTACCACCTAGCAAATTAATACTTACTAGGTAGTACGCGAAAAACCATATTGTAAAGTTGCAAATCATAGCTGTCAATTATCGGAGTTGTGTACTCCGATGATAGGTACAGATGTCAAATAATAGTGGGTTTTGAATTTTGGGGATACTACAATAGCGGTTCGGAGCTTCTCTCAACGTCCCTAGAAGTTTTGGGGCAAGGCTACGGCAGGCGCACCGTATGAAAGCGTAGTACCTCCGTAGTTTGGTGAGGAAGTGAGAAAGTGAGAAAGTACTATCGAACCCCCCGGTCACGAAAATAACCCGCCACCAATCAACACTAGACTCCGTTAACTTCTCTTAATCTTTTTTTCCTTTCCTCACTTTCATCGTGTCGCGCCGTCGTCAAACTCCCAATATTCCCTTACCTCTCAAAACTCAATTGGACTCGGTCAATTAATTCCAGGTGCTGGCAACTTGTCTGCTCTGTGGTATTCTGACCTGTCCGTTCCTTTTCTCTAACTCGACTTGTCCAATTAGCCCGGCGGACCTCTTTTTATAGCTTCTCATTTTTTTTTCTTATCCGGGGCGGAGAGCTATTTTCCACCACCACCACCACCATCACAACAACAAAATGTTCGGCGCAGTCTTAAGAAGGCAAGGCCTTCTCCGAACAACATCCCTCAGATCCGGCTTCTTCCCCCTCGCCAGGTACTATGCCTCCTTCCCGCCGCACACAGTCGTCAAGATGCCTGCGCTGTCGCCCACAATGACAGCCGGTAATATTGGCGCTTGGCAGAAGAAGGTCGGAGACACTATCGCCCCCGGTGAGGTCTTAGTCGAGATCGAGACGGACAAGGCCCAAATGGACTTCGAGTTTCAAGAGGAGGGTGTTATTGCCAAGATTCTAAAAGATGCAGGCGAAAAGGACGTTCCTGTTGGAAACGTGCGTGACTTTTTTTTTTTTTCCCTTGTGGCGCTTCCCCATCTCGTACTCCGTAATGCTGACAATATGTATATATAGCCGATTGCCGTCCTAGTCGAAGAAGGTACCGACGTATCCGCCTTCGGTTCCTTCAGCTTGGCCGATGCGGGAGGTGATGCTGCATCGGCTTCCTCCAAAGAGAAGAAGGCCGACACCCCATCCGATTCCGCACCCGCTCCGGCCCCGACACCAGCACCAGAACCGGAGCAATACTCTTCCGAAGGAAGGCTTCAGACGGCCCTTGACCGAGAACCTAACATTACCCCGGCCGCGAAGCGATTGGCTAAAGAGAAGGGTATTGTCATTTCCAATCTCAGTGGTTCCGGTCCCGGCGGCAGGATTACTGAAGACGACGTCAAGAAGGCGTCTGCGACCACCGGCCCTTCTGCGTCCGTTACCTCTTTCGAAGATACCCCTCTATCCAACATGCGCAAGACCATCGCTAGACGCCTTCAAGAATCAGTCCGGGAGAACCCTCACTTCTTCGTCACCAGCCAACTTTCCGTTACTAAGCTCCTAAAACTCCGACAAGCTCTCAACAGCTCCTCCGAGGGCAAGTACAAGCTATCAGTTAACGACTTCCTCATCAAGGCCATTGCCGTAGCTTCCAAGAAGGTCCCCGCGGCCAATTCGTCGTGGGCCGGTGACTCGATCCGCCAATATAACAACGTCGATGTCTCCGTCGCCGTCGCTACCCCCAATGGTCTGATTACTCCTATTGTTACTGGTGTTGAGGGTCGTGGCTTGGAGTCCATCTCGTCTAAGGTCAAGGAGCTCGCCAAGAAGGCCCGAGAGAACAAGCTCAAGCCTGAAGAATTCCAAGGTGGCACCATCTCGATTTCTAACATGGGCATGAATGCTGCTGTCGACAACTTCACAGCCGTTATCAACCCCCCGCAAGCTGCTATCCTCGCCGTGGGTACGACGAAGAAGGTCGCCGTCCCCGGTGGTGAGGACGGCACCGGTGTTGAATGGGACGACCAGATTACCGTTACGGCAAGCTTCGACCACAAGGTAGTCGACGGAGCCGTCGGTGCCGAATGGATCAAGGAGTTCAAGAAGGTCGTGGAGAACCCTCTGGAGCTGCTTCTATAAATGAGTCAAAAATTTACGTACCTAGGGGCGTCGGGGCATGATTGGTCTATAGACGGGATGAAATCCATGTAGAATTATGCCACACGAATTTGTACTAATAAATTCCTGCAAAAAGTGAATTTCCGGCGGCGAGCCGGATTCCGTATTGGCTTATATGGTTTATGCGAAGGATGATGTGTACGTAGGATCTGATCATATACGCAGATGGATAATTGAAGCTTACCTCAATGTTGATTGAGTCCTTTCTATATGGCTCACTCTACTCTACTGGTATTAGATATGGATGTATTTCGTCGAATCTCTGCCTGACCTAGTAATTAGGTAGGTACGCACTGGAGTATTTATAAGATGTCTAACTAGGCACCTATTCATTAGACACTAGGTAGGTAAATATGAGGTCAAGGGTCAAGTTATTTTAACTCTTCATATCATGCCCGTTTCGGCCCAGGAATTAATCTGACTCTTCTCTTACAGACTGGCCGCCATCATCCTCACTTTCACTCCCTTCATCCATGTTATTCTTGCTATCCATATCTGTCATGTGTTGCTGAGAATGAATATCTTCATGTTGAGGCAGCTGATTCCTCAATCCAGCCAAGACGGAGTTCAGCCCTGATCTCAACTGTGGCGTCCGCGCCTGTCCTGCTTGCAGCTCTAGCTCCTGGATTTTACCCCGAAGTTCCTTGATCTTTTCATCTTCCACATCGCTTTCTTCATCGCTTAAGTTATCCTCATTCCCGTCCTCGTCCTTGTCATCATACTCATCCAGGAGATCCTCACCAAAAGCCGTCGCAAAAGCCCGAGCCATACCTGCGTCCTTAATAGCAAAGACAATATGCTCGATTCCTTCCCATGACTCTACAATCTTTCCCTTCGAGCTCTTCCTTGTCTGTCCCCGATTCTCCCTATCCCTATCCCTATCCCTATCCCTATCCCTATCCCCTTTCCCCTCCTTTGTCCCAGCCCCACCAAGTAGAACCTTCTTCCACGCTCTCGCAATCTCGCCCACGGGGTTCCCATACGCGCCACATCCCCAGGCACCTAGTACAACTCTTTTCACGCCTTTAGAAACGAACATCCGCATAACGCCACGCATTTTCCTAACGGCGAGCTCTCGATCTTGTGTGCTAGCGTAACTAGCCCATCCCGATTCCGCATCGACTTCGACCTCCGGGAGTCTGAGCATAGCCGCGGTTACAATATCGACGAACCAACGTTCGCGCTTTGGGAGGAGCTCAAAATCTTCGTCGCCTCCTCCTCCTCCATCCCCATCTATTTCGTTTTCTTTCCTCCCCTTACCCTTCCCCCTATCTCCCCCATGAAGTCCGACACCAGCATCAACCTTCCGAAACACAAGCACATCCGGTGTAAACACGCCCCCTAGCTCGGGAAGCCTGTAAAACCCGTCTCGCAGCGAAGGCAGCAGCGTCGTCCTCGCGCACAACGAAGCCTCTTCCTGGCCCGCCGCGCCGTTGAGGAATCCACCGCCGGCCGCGAGCGGGGACGCCATGTTTAATACACCCACGCGGGCCGTCAAGTTCGTAAGGTCACGCCGCTGTTCTTGGGATTCTGGGGAAGAAGATATGAGGAGAAGTGAGAATGCCGTCGACAGCGTGTCTGCGATGCGTAGCGAGATGAGAGGGCCCTTTCTACCTTCACTTCCCACATTACTCCCATTACCCCCATTGTCGCCTTCATCCCTGTCGCGCCCATTACCCCATTTACCCCCTTTCGCATGCTCCGGTACACGCGCACAGGGCGGCGGATCGACAATCAGCTCCGAAGCTTCGACCCCGCGCCTAGCCCGCGGATGCGCAGCCAGCACCGCCGGTATCACTTTATTAGCGGTTGCCTTAGCTCGTTTCGCACGGGCATCGCGGCGGAAGCTTGCGGGTGGTTTGCCGACGGAAGGTTCGGTGCGTCCCATCGCGTTCGCTTTATTTGATTGTGTACCTAGGTAGGTACTACTAGGTAGGTATGTTATGTTGCTTCTAATATTTTAGAAATGTGCGGGATTAAAATTCTATAACTAAATTTGATTACTACGAGTTCGGTAGACGATGGTCACGCATCCGACTTTTTCGGGCCATCCGGGTGTTTACTTCCAATCCGTAAAACCGTTTACTATCACGAACTTGAATACAATTATCATATCATAATCCCACGTTAATACCTATATATGATCGTATTTTTAATTCATCTCATTTCATTTTATTTCATTTCATATTTCTAGCAACATCACCTCCATCTAATACACAAGGCGATACGGGTATCTAAAATTCTAAATGATGCGATTCATATATGCATGAGTATATCCTCCTCCCCTTACAACAAATACCGGAATCCCTTCTGCATCCGCAACGCCTCATCGGGGCTATCCATGTGCTCCATCTCGGCCGTGTGCGACGCCGCATCAGGTTGCGATTCCCAAGAACGCTCACCCTCCTCAAGCTTGTTGTTGAGATCCGCTAGGATGGCGCGGAAGGCGTAACATCCAATGATGGTCACTCCGAACATGGCCGTCACGATGCCGTAGCTCTTGCGATATCCATTTTCTTTCAGGTTCCACACGTAACTACCCGCAACGTTGCCCAATTGAGAGAACGCGTTGATGAGTGCGATTGCGACAGCTCGTTTTGCTGGGGGTCGAGGGAATGACGAACTGATCCAAGAATAGAAAACGATGAAGCCGGCGTAGGAGCTGGCTTGGAGGAATAGTGCGACGTATCGAGCAGCTACATTCAGCGTGGACATGCTGATGACGAAACCAACCATTCCACCAATGATGGGACCAGTGATGTGCCAGAACTATCAATAAAGTTAGTTTCACATTCAGAATAGCGTATTCTACTTTTAAAGATAAGGTAATTGTTTTTTTTTTTTAAAAAAAAAAGCCCCCAAGAAAGAACACATACCTTCTCCTGGGTTCTGTCAGCGTGCCAAGCGTTTATGAGTGAAACGATACACGAAAAGGCCCAAGGAGGTGAGCTCATAAGGAGTGTTCCGACGTAGTCGAACCCGAGAGTACCGGTAAGGGTTGGCTGTGAAGCATGGTTAGCTTGAGGATCATATAGATGTTCCTTGGGGGTTCTTACGAAGAAGGCGTTGAACGATAGACCGACAACATAAGCCGTGAAGGTAAGCATCATCAAGTAAATCTTAATATCCTTAACAGCCATAATTAGACCGTCAAAAACACCCTGGTTCTCTGCGTCAATGTCGGCTTCGCCAACGTCCTCGATCATACGCAACTGTGCTACCTGACGCTCTTCCTCCGTGAAACCACGCGAATTGTGTGGTAGATCCGGAAGTACGAAAGCTGCGACGATGGCAATAAACATGGTAATGGCGCCCTCGATCCAGAATAGCCATCTCCAAGCAGCATGGCCCAAAACCCCTTGCATATTTGATAAAACACCAGCACCAACTAGCGCCGAAAACGCATTGGAGATGATGTTACCGCAGAACAAGATGGCATTTCTCGTCGTCAGCTCCCTTCGCGTGTACCACTTGGATTGGATGAGAAGTGCTCCCGGAAGGAAAGCGGCTTCGACGAAACCCAAGAAGAATCGTACCAGAACCATGCCAGTAAAATTATTGGTGTTTCCGGTAAGCGTAGAAATGAGGCCCCAGAGTAACATGGCGCAAGAGAGGTAGAGCGACGGTCTTTGAATCCGGTTGGTGAGCATGTTCGATGGGACCTGCATCAAAATGTATCCGACATATAAAATACTCAGACAGGTCGAGTATTGAGTCTAGCAGTTGGTTAGCGTCAGAGACTGGTGATCATTGGGTATAAACAGTTCCAGGGGATAGTGCATCATCAAATTCATCAAAGGGGAGCTAAGCGTACATCGTCGAGATTTAAGTCTATCATATTCTATTAGTATATTTAAAGCTAAGGCTAAGGCTATGAGAAGGGTATAAGAAGGTTATGCTTACCTGATTGGAGTCCCTTGAGTCTCGCAGCCGCAATGTTGTTGCGGTCAAGATAATTGAGGATATAAATGAGGACAAAAAGAGAACATCGCGCATCGAGTTTACGCTTTAATGACTTCTCTACTCGTGCGCGGTGAGCAGGATCCATCGAGCTGGCAGGAAGCGTTGCGCTTGTAGTTTCTGGTGCCGTTACATGTTCCAAAGCTTCTATATTCTGCTTGACTGTAGGCCCTTGAGTAGGGCCGGCCCGTGTTATCTCGTCGGCCATGATGGGCGATTCCTCGTTAAGACAATTATTTCCTTTAGACTTAGAATCCTGTATGAGAATATGGCGAAAGGGAAGCCCGAATAGAGAGAGACTACCGGCCCAAACAGTTGATGCAGCTCGGGAGGAAATTAAAAAGACGACTAGATGAGAGAATAACGTCGGGTGATGTCAAAGATTTTATCTGACCAGCTCGTAGGAAGTTCGTCCCGGTATTCGGGTGTCCTAGCCGTAAAGGCCATGTGAGTGGCAGAAGCTTAACTAGAGGTTAGAGTTATTGCAGGGGATGGGCTGGTTTGCCACTGTTTCAATCTCCGTTAATCCATTTGGACACCCCGTAATGCGGGGCAAAAGGTTGGTGGAAGGATTCACGATAATATTGGGGAGACGAGGCTCTTCTTCGGTGTCTTGGCGCTTGGGGTATGGGGGGACCGGGGTGATTGAGGAGAAATGGATAAGCTACAGGCCACACGTAGTATGTAGGTATGTAAGCCACAGATATTATGGAAGATATAATAGATTAAACTATTGGTGATTTAAGTAAGGACGCCGGAAGAAGACAAAAAGACAAGAAGACAAGAATATGAGAAACTAGGTAGGTAGGCACATAGACACATAGACACATACCTAGTACCACCCACCTCAAACTATTATTACCAAATTAAATCATGAATACCTTAGGTACCTAAGGAATTCAAGCTCGCAAGGAGCTTAGGTCCGATCCTGGTCAATTCGCTACCGGTTCAACCGACGATAGAGATATATGACGAAGGGCATCACGATGGAATGTTATAAAAAACCGAACCCCGATCTAACTGCCACATTTTTTTAGCCATGGGCCAACCAGAGACTTGGGACTTCGGACCATGAGCCCGGGGATGGTCGTGGGAAATGGATTATCCCCACAAAGTTCTGTCTTGGCTTCGTGGGTTTCCAAGATTTGGGGAACTCGTTTTATTCTCATCTCGTACGAATAGTATGTAAATACTACTATGCATCGACGGCATTCGTATTGTTCGCCTCCTTAGCTCGCGTCCTTTAGAGGCTACGCTATCAGGGGGTCTCTCCAATTGTGACTCCAAATACTTTGGGGATGAGAGAGGGGAAAGAAAAGTGCTACACGAGATGATTTAATTGTCTGTAGTTATGCTGAATAAGTGAAACTTCCTATTTTCAGTAATTTGAAATATTAGCTTTCTGGACGCCCGCATGCGTATATGTATTATATGATATCCTCAAAGGCGGAATCACCCATATCTAGCGTACTGTAAAGCCAGCTGAGTTTGCGAGTGCACGATTGACAACGATGCCGTCTAGAAATACCGAAAATGGGTCACCGAGAGCGGGTCCTGAAAATTCAAAATTGGTTTGCTGGGTCAGTGGTCCCTCCCTTTCTCCAATCTCGCCTCGCTTGTCTCGCCTAGAAAACGTGGAGAAGAGGCTAGATAGTATATCGTCTCAAACCAAGGCTATTGATCAGGTTTTGACAAATTATATGTATACCTGGTAGGTAGTGTGAGCGCATGGTTAATGATATATGTTGTAAAAGTTGAGGTGAAATTTAGATGAAGTTAATTGTCGCCAATTCTTTATTATTAAATTCAACCCTCACCCCCACCCCACTTCACTCCAACCCCACCTTAGCACAGAGAAAAGAAGTGGGGGGAAATACATCGACATTGGTACTTCATAGCTCCTCGTTATTCATCACGTGGTGGAATCACGAGCTCGTTGGTCCTTCCTTACAATTTACTCAGTTGATGAGTTAAGATTAAATGTAGAATGTGCGTGCTTGAATCTCACTCACGTAGAACATACCGAGTTATCATAAAGTAATTCAAATGAAATGGGGAAGTTGAGGTGCCTGTAGATTCTTAGATACCTACTAAGTATCTACGTCGTACTTTAGTTGCAAACTGGCATAGGACTAATAAAAGACTACGGAGAAGTGAGTAACACATGATTAATCTACTACCCCTTTCAACAATATCTCCTTATAAAGTATCATCTCTAATACTCGATGCTATGAGTTTCATCGCCTATGTTAAGTCCTATATATTCTCAACACTCAAATGAATTTAAATAATATACGGCTCTTGAATAGGTAGGTAATCATATGGCTATATTGCATATCTAACACGTTTAACATGTATATATATGTATCGAACGCATATACCGATATAAAGCGGCGCTGGTTAGTTAAATGGCATTAATATAATTATCTATCTTCGCGACAAGAACATAGCATTAAGTCGTCACCAACAATATGTAATTTGAATGCCATGTTAGTAGTTTAATTACGGTCCTGTTGGTACTAATCGACCCTTGCTTTGTTGCTTTCTTTATCAAGTTTTGACAGGTATGATTTACTCAACTATGACAATTCTGAAATTGAAAAAATATAAATCGAACTCGAAGTTTGATAGAGCGTATGAAGCCAAATCCTATAACCGAGAAGCTATTTTGACGCATATTAAAAGAGCTAGTGGCGAGTTGAAATATCTCAGCAAAAACCATCTTAGATATCCCCTTTTCCAAAAAGGGGGGAGTAAGAAAACATATCTAGATTATCGGGTTAAGATTAGTCAAAAAAAAAAAAAAACTGCAGCATTTCCTTCGCTACAACTAGGTACCTACTTATTTATTTATAAGACTTATATGGAATTCATATGATGAATTGAATAGCGAGGATGATTCACCATCTACAAGGTAATCACTTAAGTATAGATCTTGCGATGCCTTCTCTAGGTAAGCTAAATGTGTTTAGGCGTTTCTATAGCTTTCATGAGGGGTCCCTTTGATGTACAGGTTTCTTTGTCCTAGTCCCTTTAACTAGAATATCTATGCGTCGTATTGATAGGTATATTAAGAAGCGACGTCGACTGCCGGACAAGATATGCGGAGAAGACGGGGGAACTGCATCGGCAATACTACTGGGTACAAATACGTGATACTGACGGTGGGAAGCTGCATCTCGACTACGATGTAACCTTCTCCGATTGTCTGAGTGTCAGGCCTACATGGTAGGTAACTTTATATCATCCTATCTTTTATTCTAGTCTCTGTTCTTTTTGTTCCATCCGAGCCAACTCCCGGTTCTTCCCCGCCCGCGCTACTACAGATCTAGGTACTTATATATCTGACAACCGAGCTGTTCCACGCGGACGTAATCGTACTACCTTTGCTCTTACCTAGATATCTACCTAACCTCTACGTCAGTCTCTCTATCGTCACACTTTCTCTATAGCTTCATCTACCGACAATGCCTCACAAGGAAGAAGAATTCTCCGAATTTACTCCAGACCTCTATCCGCCGTTTCCGGAGGACGTGCCCACGGTTGAGCTACAAACCATCACCTTATCGAAGCTACTGGAAGGCGATTCGGCAGAGCAGAACCGCGTCTATGAGGCCTGCGTTGGCCGCGGATTCTTCTATCTTGCGCTCAATGGTTGTGCAAAAGGCGAGACTATTTTGCGAGGGGCGGATCAGATTGCTTTAACCGGGGAACGCGTCTTCAAGTTACCGCTAGAGGAGAAGATGCAATATAAGATGGTCAAGACGCTGTTTGGGTATAAGTTTGCTGGATCGACCGTAACCGACAAGTCGGGAACCCCTGATACGGCCGAGTTCTTCAATGTGGGCAAAAACGACAGTATGTAAAATCGTACCTCTCCCATCTCATCTCTTATTTCTTTTTAACTAGCTTGTTCGGGAGCGGGAATTTTGGTATCGGACTGGCTGGGGACTTGTTGCTGAAGTAAGATATTAATTCTTTTATAGTGATAGTACCTGATGACCGCATGACACGACCATGGCCTTCAGCCATCTTAGACGCGAAGCCACTTTTCGATGCCTATATCAATAGTGCGCACTCTGTTGGGATGACAATTCTGGCTATCATCGCCGATAAATTGGGGGTCGATGTATCCGAATTCACGAAACGTCACAGAATCGAAGAGCCCTCTGGTGATCATGTTCGAATTACTAGGGGCCCACCACGCGAGACAGAAGAGATGCCTGAAATCCAAACCCCATCGCACACTGATTTTGGGACGTAAGTGAACCCTTGATGCTCACCCGCATTGTTTTCGTTCACACTGAGGAACATCATCTTATTTTTTTGTAGGATCACTATCCTCATGAACTGGCTTGGCGGGCTCCAGGTCTGGTCTGAATCCTCGCGAAAGGCTGAGTTGGGCGCGCTTGAGCCTGATGTGCCAGGCCAATGGCTCTGGGTTAAGCCAAAGAATGGTTGTGCTATTATTAATCTAGGCGATGCGGCCGTTAGGTTTACCAACGGCGTGGTCTGTTCCGGCCGTCACCGTGTGATACCATCTCCGGGTGCACAAGGCCGATGGCCACGGTACAGTATCGTCTATTTCGTCCGTCCCGAGGACCAATGTCTTATGAAGAGCCTTGAAGGCAAGGGAATTCCTGAAGGTCGAGACGATGATGAAAGCCTTACGGCTACGGAATGGATATATAGGAAGTCTGTGGCGCTGGGAAACCGGTTTGATAACTGAGGAATATGATAAATAAGAGCGAATCAGAATTTTTGTCTTAATTCTTCGTCGTATAGCCTCGATTATATGTTGTTATATATAGATATATGTGTAGCATGAGTAACGGTCGCGAATGTTTGAGATGTGGTTGACAGAGGTGAATTGGAGTTGAAGAATCGAGTGGAGTTTGTGAGAGCCATTTCACGTAGCTGTAAAATGTTGCTTATCACATCATTCTAACTTTTGATCTATTTCCATTTTTGAGGTCGTAATAAATTTACCTTCAGGCTAGGTACGACTTATAAAGGTGATTTCTGTGTTAGTCGTGCCTATCGTTATGAGAGGAAGTTTGTGACGAAAACGGTGGTGTGCTTAGTCATGACCACTGTGAAAAGTCGGGTGCCGCCGTCATATCAGTACCAGAGGCTACCCCTAACACAGATTCGATGCTAGTAAAATCAAAAAGGACATTTTGCATCTGTAACCGTATATTAGCTTGTTATCGCCGAGATTATGGGGGATACTAACCGAGTTATCGTATTCCCAGTCTTCTTCCATCGCCATCATGGTATCAAAGTTAAACTGGGCTTCACTGTCATTAGTATTAGCAGCCTCGTCTACTTCCATCTCTGCCCGCTGCTTCAGCACGTTGAAACTTTCACGTATGGCTTCGGTACCAGCTTTGATGACAACATCCGTAAGGTCCGGCCCCTTTAGACCGCTCATCAACGCCTCGACTTGTGCTACTAAGGCTGCGGTGAACATGTATCCCTTGATATTTGTTTCTCCGATCTTTACGCGACCAAAAATCCAGGATGCTGAGTCGCGTAGGATATTGAACAGATCTATTCGGGGCGTTGGGGGCCCGAGTCCGTCATCTTCTTGCAGCTGACTCTTTAGCTCGAGACCAATTGACATGGACACCTGGGAGAGAATACAACGGAAGACACCGCCTGCACAAGTAGTCATTCGCGCCAAGTCGTCTGCATTGGTTGATATTGTTTCTGGCCCGTTTGGAGGACATGGAAAAGGTCGAGGGTTCAGGGCAGCGGCCGGGAAAACAGTTAACCACATCTTGACCGACATCTCTATGACTGTCTTCCTCGAAAAGGCATAAGCTGGCTCAACCATAGATGGATTAAAGTAAGGAAGATGTAAGGCCATAAAGTATCGGCGGACGAGAATATCTATAAAGCGCCTCTGGAACGCTGTCGGCTGTCGATCGCTAGACGCGAGTTTTTGAAGATATTGGGAGAGCGACTTATACGCGGTACTTAGTTGTCCATGGAGTCGAAGGGCGTCTTCGTACGTATGCTGCGAATCAAATTCATTGAGCGATCGCGCAACTTCTAGCCGTGCCGGAAAGGTGATACGGAGGGCTAAAGCTGCAGAGGTGTCCGTGAATTGTTCTAAAGGGCTAGCAATAGCTGGCGCATTGTCGTCGGTTAATTGGTCATCGTTGATATTGGTCGGCGCACACGTATCATAGTCCTGGAAATGGATTAGGGGCGGACCGCCGGAGTCCATACTTGTCTGTAGAGCAAGTTCTAGAATGGTGTTCCATAGTCGACGCCGCATCTCTGAACGAATAGTATTCATCCTGGGGAGTTTCTTTGGATCCCTGTGGAGGCCCATATACATCGCCGTGCGCATTACATCTCCGACTGGGATCCAGACCAAATCATGGCCGACGGAGGCAGCCTGCTGTGCGAAACAGAGGAGCAGCATGACCTGTAGACCGGAGAGGGTTAATCTCGTCTTTGGAATTGGGGACATAAGCCAGAATTGTGCTTCGTAGACCCATTGAATAGCCGATTTTCGCAAAGAGAATTGCTCGTCATACACTGTACAACCGATTGCCATAACGAGCTGTAGTTGAATTACGAAGGAGAGGTCAACCGAATCTGGCGAGGACCAGAACACCTCGTACTCTTTTCTAAATGAGGGGACATGTAATATTCGATAGACAGATTCCACAGTTCGAAGATACCCATCCACGAGTTTATCGGCGACCTCTCGGCACGGTACATTTGTACCAAATTTGAATTTTAATAGATCAGGCACTCGTTGTGCCTTGATGGTGCGAGCTAGCGTCTTGCTTTTGTTTACAAGTGCTATTGCTTCGGATTTCTTCTCTCGACAAAGTCTATCGAATAGTTCTAGGATGGGTTTGAACTAATGAGATGTAAGCGGTTTTTCTATATAAGTCTATTATGATGTAGCGACGGCGGGGAGGGAGAAAAAAAGAAGGAAAAAAAAAAGGGGGGGGGGGGGGGGGAAGAGAGCAACGTACGCCACCAAAATGGTTAAACCAGTGACTTTGACCCAATTACCTTGTCTTTGTAATTAAACTTTTGT